ATAAAGGTCAAAGGAGGTGTGTGCTGCATTCGCTCATACCTTTTGTTAAAGAGTCAAATATACCTTCCATACTTAAGCACATTACTGGGCACCAGAGAGGAGGGAGTGGGACTGGATGCCACGAGAAACACTTCTCTCTCTAAATGCAGACAAACTATTCCCCCAGCTCAAGGACAATCATTACCTGAGGGGAAAGAGGCAGCATGTGTGTTAGGGGAAGAGATGCTTATACTGGCGCTGATCTTGAAAAGGCCTGGCCGATCGATCACATTAAGCTCCCTGCGAAAGAGAAAAATCAATATGTTTTTAAAGGCGTAGCAGGCTACTTGTGGTGTATGCGCGTGGGCTTCATTGATACTGCCAGACGTGTTCAGAGAGTGCCTGTTCCTGAAAAAGAATGATCACATTTCGAGGTCAAGTGGTTTCATTTCCAGTACTTATCTACAAAATCATGACACTTGTGAGGAAATATGTACATGAAATGTGTGTGTTGTGTGTGTGTGTGTGTGTGTGTGTGTGTGTGTGTGTGTGTGTGTGTGTGTGTGTGTGTGTGTGTATGAAGTATCCCAGTCTAGGCTACCATTATTGCAGCAAAATACTCACCAGTGTTTGAGGATCACAGATGACACACTGAAAAGGAAAATCAATCGTTTTCAGATGGAGAAACTTCTGCAGAAGCTGTGGGGTCTGACAAGCAACATCAGGATTAGAAAGAAAGAACGACCTGTGACTCTTTGAGAAAATTAATTGCTTGTTTAAAGACACTGTAATGCAGTCAGTCTTAGAGCTAACAACAGGAATTGCCAGCAGAGGTTCAGCTCAGAGAGCTGGAGTGGGAAGGAGGTCAACAAGAGTGAGACAGAGAGACAGAGGGGAAACAAAGACAGAGAAGGCAATTTAATTTCCATCAGTTGCCAAAGCAATGCTAATCAATACAAAAGACACCCACTCTTCAGCACTTTCTACTTCTCTCATTGCAACCCCCTCGTGTCTCTCTATGTCTATCTATTTCTATCTCTCTCTTACATACCCGCAGCAATAATTTACTCTTGAGTTGGCATCTGGGGCAGGGGAGTGTGATCCAGTAGAGGAAGGAGTGAAGAAAAATCCACACGGATTTGAAACACTGTCCTCAACCTACCGGCACTGACATGACCACACAGTGGAGGAGGAAAGCAGGAAAAATGAAAATCTAAATGGACAAAGAAAGAAATAAAGCGATTAATGAGTAAACGAGTGATAAGAAAGAAAGTAAAAAATGGCATACAGGTGTTTAGAGCAGAGAGGAAGAACATACAGAGAAATGAGAGTAAAGTGTTCTCAGAACGAACACAAAAAGTACTCTTAGAAATAATGAAATAACACTGAGAAACTGTCTTTATTTCTACAGTGTCTACAAAAGTCCTGCAAAAAGAAATAATTTCAAACTGAATTTCTGCCTGATACGGGTATTTGACTAAAAAAATGTGTAAATGCAGGAATGATGGTCTATTAAGGCACAAAGGGTTTATCATACCTGATAAATCCTGATAAAAAAGTGATATATGATTATGAAGCAATGAAGATACAGAAAGAAACTAGAGTTTCTAACGTGGTTGACTTTGTGTTTTAGACTTTCAACTGGATAAAATTTGAGAAAAAGAAACCAGCCTGCTCTCTAGTGGTCACAGAGAGAAACAAACACTGTCTGGTTTGCTGTGAAATACAACACATTGATCAACATAAAAAAAAAAAAAAAAAACTGTGGTGCAAAAGAACTAATTGCTTAAGCACTGCACTTAAATACAGTTTTGAGGAATTTGTATTTTCCTTGAATATTTCCATGTTGACACTTTATTGCTCTTAATTTCATAGGGAAATATAGAATGTTTTACTTTTCACTCCAACACATTTATATTCGCAGCTATAGTTATTCTGTACATTCAGATTTTATAGAAAAAACATATGATTGACTGATAAAACAGGATGCACTGTTACACTGTCATTATACTGATCACACTGCTCCAACAACTGCAAAAGTTAAATGCTGCTTACACACAAACACATTAGTAATAGGCACTATACTGTATGTGATGTATGTAGAAGCATAGGTCACCAAAAACTGAAAAATCATGTACAATCATGTAGGGACTAAGAAATCGACTTAAAGCTTTGCTGCAGCAGTGGAAGTAAATGAAGCCTTGAAAGTTCATGCAAACAATTCCTTCTGGTGCCTCAACTTTTGTTAATGACTTTTAAACCCTCTGACAGCAGAATAATGACCCCAAACATTAGAAGAAAAGAACTAGACAGCAGTTTCAGATGATGGAAGACCAGCAGAGATTTAAACCCTGTTGAACTGGTTTGGTATGAACTAAACAGAAGGTGAAAGCAAAGCAACCTGCAAGTGCAATGTACAGTATATATGCAGTGCATTCAGGGGTGTTCAGACCACTTCCATTTTTTCTACACCTTGATTGGAGTCCACCTGTCGTATATTCAGCTAACTGGACATGATTTGGAAAGGCACACACCCTCGGCTGACAGCTGACACTGCATATCAGAGCAAAAAACCAGGCATGAGGTCAAAGGAACTGCCTGCAGAGACAGGACTGCGTCGAGGCACAGATCTGGGGAAAGATACAAAAAAAAAAAAATCTGCTGCACTGAAGGTTCCCAAGAGCCCAGTGGCCTCCATAGCTGGCCACCTGGCCAATCTGAACCATTGGGGGAGAAAGGACTTGGTACAAGAGTTGACCAAGAACCTGATGGTCACTGTGACTGAGCTACAGAGATCATGTGTGGAGTTGGGAGCAAGTGTCATGTCTGATAGGAAGATTCTTATCATACATGGTTAAGGCATCTATGAAAAAAATGGGATGGAGCCCAGGATCTACATTACGTTGAGGATGTTTATTGAAGCTTGGCCAAGGAGAACAGAAGTATCATCAATACATGTTGCTGTGCATGATGCCACCTCAATTCCAGCTGAGAGGTCCCCTGTGGTTAGTCTTTATTCAGTTTCTTCACATTCCAAAAGGATGTGTGGGCATTCTATTGGTTCCTTAAACATAACAATCAAGTCACATTTACACATACCCATATTGCTGGTTAAATAAAAGAGAGTCGTTTGTTACTGACCATCCAAGGTCTTCTGTTATCAGCTTGAAGAGACACAGCTATGTCCGCCTGAGCGTCTCCTCCCATAAGATTTAGGTGCAGCCTGACCTAAGGGCCTCACATAAACTCTGTGCCCTCTATACTGATCATCCATACGTGCATCTCTGGAAAATTCCTTTACAATGTCTATTTCCTCCAAACATGACACTTTTATAAGACTTCTTTCTCCACAGTCTGAGAGTCATTTAGGAGCTTTTATGCCAACTTTCACAGACTTCACTAAGGAGAGGCTTCCGTCTGGCCATGCTGCCATAAATCCCAGATTGCTGCTTCTGGAAGCGTCACCCATCTCCTCAACAAAATGTGAAAATTTTAAGGGGTCTGAACACTTTCCGAATGCACTGTATATATGTATCTACGTATACATATGAAGAGAAAAAGAAACACTCCTGTACAACACTATCTTGTTAATCTGATGAGCGTATTCTGTATGAATTAGAGCTGTAGTCTTTCAGTCTGTGTTGCTGTGAACTGCTGGTATTTATGGATACTTTATTGAGCTTTAAACGCCCTGACTCACACCTTGTTATGTCTGGAGCTCTGTGGTCAAAAGAGCACTGGGTGTGTAACATGGAAGTGCAGTATGGGGGACAATTTTTGAAAAGCTGCTCAGATAAACTAAATGGTAACAATTCTGTGTGAAACATAAGAAATGCACTGAACCAAAAACACATTTAAGACATTATAGGAACATGGTGAAACCGCAATTCAACTTGCTACATTAAAAATGCATAAATAATTATAATTATTTAACAAAATAATAAGAGTGCATAATGAGTACTTTTACTTTAAGTATTTCTCATAAGTAAAACTTTAGTAAAAGTCTCTTGCTTGTAGTAGAGCACTTTTACATTGTGGTATTGACACATTGACTTGGATAAGGAATTCTTTGACCGCTGAAAAAAACAACTCAAAATGATGGTAAGACGGACAGTTTTGAAGTATACGTACATTCCTTGAGTATTTCTATTTTCTGCTTCTATATACTTTCACTAAACTTCATTTCAGAGGGAAATATTTTTACTTTTTACTTCACTACATTTATTTGTTAGCCATGGTACTTTGGAAATGGAGATTTTACAAATGGATCAAAAATCAAAAATAATAATGATAATAAACCATGCTCCACCTTTCAAAACACCCATTTTTAAGTGCTTATAGATCAGACTATCCAGCACTATATAAAGTAGTTAGAAGTAGTCTCACCATAATCCACCACAACATTAATGGTGGACTTGTACATGTAATGGAGTATTTTTATACTGCAGCATAAAAGATTCTGTTGCACAATGAGTACTTTTAAGACTTCAAGGCCTTTTTGTTGATAAGACTTATTTTAATGCAAGACTTTTACTGGTATTGTTGTTATTACAGGCTTTTAAATAATAAAAAAATAAGTAAATGACGTAATGAAAATTGACTGGTTACAATAATATACATATTTGATAAAGGGTGCCTTGTTAGAAAGTGGAAGTGGAACCAAAGTAAGGTCACCAAAATCCCACAGTTTTCAGCCAAACACACACTCAGCTTCGACAACAATAGCTTACTATAGACTCACAATAAGGGACAAACGCGGGTATTACATCAAATGTCATAAGAGGACAGTTGAAATTACTGTTGCGCTTTGAAGGGACGAAGAAACGTACCGTAACTGAAACAGAGCAAAATCCCCCACTCAGCTGTTTACCTTGCTTGTCCATATTTGGACCGGGCGGGGTGTCGCTCTTGCCGGGAGCCAGTCAGCTCTTGCTCACGCCGCTGAGTAAAGGAAGTGAGTCACGCTGACGGTAAAGTTACGTCTGTGTTGCAGCAAGCCCCGCGAGCAGAGAACAAGGAAGCAACATGTGCTGACCATAATAACTCTTACACATCAGCAAGGAGAGACACGCAGCCACGATACGAGAAGGAGCCGAGGACACGCACCGACCGCTGGACATTCACACACTGTACTGTTTCCTTCTGTTTTTTCACCGTGAGTACTATTTTGTGTTGTTTTTCAACTTTTGAGCGTCTTGTTTTGCCTTTAAACGTATTTTGTTATTACTGTAAATGTTGTTGTAATTAACGTTCATTAGCTACTTTGTTACAGTTTTATTTCGAGTCTGTCGCTGGCTTTTATGGCTCTTTCAGTTTATTTTTTATGTTTATTTTTATTTTTTATTTATTTTTTTTTTAACTGTTTATTACCTTGGTGTTTCACCCCGAACGGTTTTTGTAGCCTACTAACTCACTTCTTACTCTTCCAAACGGAGCATTTTTAAAAGTACAGCCTTCAAAATAGTGTTAAACGACCCTGTTTAGCTGGGCTAACTCAATAGTGTATCTTCTGTACCGAAAATACAGCCGTCGATGTGTTTCTACTAAATTTCTAAATTTCCACCGGGGGGTTTCCGCACTCAGAAAACCCGAATGCGTTATTTCCAGCAAGTAGCGTCAAGTTTCCTTTGTCACAGCAAAGGGTGGTGGGTGAATTCGCTCTAGTCGTAGCTCGTTTATTTTCTTTTTCTGTTTGGAATGGATGTCCGAAACCAGCCACGCACAAACACGTGTCCCCCTCCTTGGGTCGCATGGTCGTGTCTTTACTTCTTTGTTGTGTGTCCTTTGTTTCACGCAGACGCGAGAACAAAGTTTCGTTGTCACCTCAAGTGAGTGTGGACGAAACCAGACAAAAGGCCTCTCACCTGTTAACCCCCTGTTCAGACCTGAGTACACTGATTGTAAGGGGACATGTCTGTTTAGGGCTGCTCTGGGAAACGCATGTGAGGTTATGGCATGCTGAACACACATTGAGGACATCAACAAGTTGTTGTGTGTGTGTGTCTGTGTGTCTGTGTGTCTATCTATGTTGGCTTAAAGCTTGAAACTGCACTGTAGGCAGCAGGGGCACATCTCAGTCTGCAAATGGGTCAAGTTGTTGTCTTCATATGTAGAATCAAAACAGTATCAGCAGAGTCTGTGATAATGGCAGTAGGTCATTGTTCAGTAAACAGACATACAGTAAACATGAAGCACACCTCTGCTCCTCATGGCTGTAAACTTTTTTCTTTGAGGGCATTACCGAGCCTCTGATTAGATCAAAGGCACGACACTACTCCCTAATCAGAGAAAACAGACACCATCAGTGATGTTAATCTGCTTTAGTTCCTCTAGTATCTACAAACATTCATCATTAACATGGCATAATGCAATCCAGTTGAAAACATGACTCACGCTAAACCGAATCAGTATTGATATGTGGGATGTTACATGTTGTCAGTGAACACCTGGCCACAAAGAACAAAAGTGATGGTGTGATAATCAGAAGAAAACATTTTCAATAGTGTTGCGTATTGTCCTGTGAAAACTATGTATCTCCAAAACGTCAACAGTCTGTCTCAGCTTTGTGACAATGTACTTTTACAGTAATCCAACAGGTTTTTAAATGGGTTATCTAGTAAAAAAACAAACAAAAAAACCCAACTTTCTCAATCCATAAAACAACAGTTAATCCTTCATCTTAAAGAAGGATCATAAAATAAGTCGATTAACTGAATACCTGAAATTTAACTTGAAACAATAAATTTTAAGAACAAATAATAAAAACAAAATGACTGGTTAGAGCTTCTCAATTATCACTATTTACTAGTTTTGTTAGTCCTGTATGATGGTAAACTGAATTTCTTTTTTACTATTTGTTGACCAAAACAAGTTGTTTTAACATGTCAACTTTGGGCTTTAAGAATTTTTGACAGCCATTTTCTTTATTTTTTACCAAACAGAGATGCATGATTCAAACAACTCATGTGATATTCATATTAATTAATTTAATCACACTGACCTATACCACACTGCTATTACATAAAGTAAAACTTTTGAGAGTTTTTCATAAACTAACTAAACTACTAAACTATTTTGCATCTTATTCACAAAATGACTCTAAACAACATAAATCCTGGATAGTAAAGATCAAGAGGGAAAAAAAGGCTAGTTAGTCATGTTGAGTGTTGACTTGAGAGGCTTTAATGTTTTCCAAACCCAAAGCACTTAGAGACATCCTCTATTGGCTCTGTCAGCAGAAACACTTCTATCTTTTTTGAATTCCTGTAGCCCTTTCTTTAATGCTGTATTAGCAGGAATTCAAGTACAAGGCCACTTTAACATTCTTCACACTCGCAGCAGAAGTCCCAGACTGGAAGATCTACCAGAAAAACTTGTGTGCATGTGTGTGTGTCAGACAAAATTACATCCTGCAGGTTAGCATGTTGCAAGATTTATGGCCCTCTCCTGGTTGAGTCTGTTGGAATGAACATATTTAGCTGTTGCACGATGGACAGCAAAACAGAGTTTATATAACCGAGGAGGCCGCAAAAACAACAATAACGTGAAGAATATGTCATTTGAACCTGTTTACCATTCAAACTAATGACTGACTGGAATATCAAAGCTGCTGTTGATAACACACTGATGCTCTCAAAGTTAATGTAATGGCAAAACATATCTGTTAGGGCTTTAAAGTTACTACTACTCTTGAGTTGTTGTGTCACAGGTTCATCACTGCTCTTAAGGGACGGCTGTGGCTACATGTCTCGGGGCATAATAGTAATTTTGTCTCACAACACATTACACAGCCTGAAGCAACAGTGGTGTGTTTCAAGCCACAATAACAAATCGCTGTCTGGACCTCAAAGTTCAAGCCACGACTTTCTCGTCAGGGACACTCTGCAAAGTTTGAATTGCCTTGGCCTGAACTAAGCACACTCTTCTCACCTGGTCAGGCTGACACTGGCACTCAACCCAAACAGACATGCTATCAGTAGATAAACAGCACAGTGAGCTCATTGGATTTGCATGTCAAAATACCTACATTTCAACACAGCAGTGCTAATTTGCATCTTGTTTGCCTGTATACAAACTTTAGCCTTTACGAACATGGCTCTGTGTTGACAGAGCGCTAAATCCCCGCTTGTCTTTTGCACATGCTTAACGCAGATCTCACCTGGAGGTCATAAAAATATAAGGCTCGGGGGTAACTGCACAGGGAAGTGCTGTTATCACTGCACAGTTCCTACTCATACCAACATCTCATCGGAGGGAAGTCATAGTCTGTTACCAAAAACTCACATCACTTTGCTTCTCAGGGCTTTGGTTTGAGAAAAAAGAAAAAAAGTGTGAGTGTGGCAAGTGATTACAGAGCCACAGTCATACAGACCCACAGAAACACCAAGAAGAATTTTGTTGACAGCCTCAGCTGATCTTTCTTTTTCTTTTTTTCTTTTTTTTATCTTCGTTTTCTGCAGACATCATGAAAAGAGAGGTGAAGGCTGGAGTCAACTTCCTCAAACGCCTGGTTGTGGCACGTGGCAAGCTCGATGAAGCCAAAGCAGAATTGTTTTCTGAGAAGCTGCAGAAACTTTTATGTGACAAATATGAGGGTCACTGGTACCCCGACTGCCCCAGCAAAGGGCAGGCATACAGGTAATTACCCAGAACTTAACTCCACACATTTGCAATTGTATGTAATGGTTTTCTCAGCCAAGATCACCTTATGTCGCCGCATTACAGAGGGAGAAAACACAGAATCTTTAACATTTAAATCCTTCACAGATGCATTCGTGTAAATAACGGCGTGCTCTGCGATGAAGTGGTCCTGAAGGCATGTGAGGAGAGTGAGCTCACAGCCATTGAGCTGGGCCTACCGCCTGAGATCACAGTGTGGATCGACCCACTGGAGGTGTGTGCGAGGTGAGTCACTGGGTGGCCTGCTGAGGCACAGGCAAAGAATGACACAGACAGGCACGCTTCAACAACAACGAGGCATTTTCAGTCTAGCCAAGAATTGTGAGTAAGTGTCGCCATGGTGTATTCTGTGAAATGATGAATAACAACGTGGGAAGTAAGAAGTAGGAATAGGGGGCGACAGATACATGCAAAATGACTTGAGTGTGGTTGAAAATAATCTAATTTCTCTTCACAGATCTGGAGAGAACAGCAGGCCCTTCACTATAACCAGTTTCGAAGACGAAGAGGAGGGGAGGGAAGGCATGAAGGGAGAACAGGATGACTCGATAAACCTGGACACGTCAGATTACCACTCTGCTACCTCTTCAGATTGTGGTTCCACCGCGTCGAGTGACACGGAGGAGGAGGCAAGGGAGGGCGCGATGGAGGGAGAGCAAGAAAAAGAGGAGAAGGAAGTTGTCAAGAAGGATGCGGCAGAAGGCGACACCTACACAATAATGATGGTACCCAGGATTCGCAAGCGACAGGGAGAAGGACCAAATAAGATCAAATACGTCAGAAATTTGGTAAATTTTTTTTTTTTTTTTTTTTTTTTTTTAAAAGGACAAAAAATTTGTATTTGAGAATTAAAAGGATAAGGCTGATTAAATTAATCTGCAGCTGAAAATTGTCCCTAACAAATGCACCTATTGCTCTTTTTTCAGTAACAGTTGCAAAAAAAAAAAAAAAACTACAGTGCCCTGTTGTTTTAGGAAGTTACTGATCTTTTTTTTTTTTTTTTTTTTTAAATAAACACAGTATTTGTAACCAGCTCTTTTAAAGAGTTTCGTCTTAAGTAGGGACAACTGGGCTTGTGGTTTAGTGCCACAGACAGGACAGGGAAGTCAGAAAGTGTTGAAAAATGATCTGAGGCTTGGTGGTTTTGGTCTTTTTACAGGATTTGTGGGAAATACGAAAAATATAGAATAAACCCAACCTCCTTAAGTTATGCAGAAATAATAGAGGTGCAACAGTTTACAACCGTGTTGGTTTGATTCAGTACGGCAGTCTCATGATTTAATACACATTGTAATAAGGAAAAAGGTGTTTATAGATGTGTTTCAGGGATTTCCCAGTCTCAGTCTGTAACCAAAAACATAAGATGTGCTTTATGATGGATATCTTGATTTTGGAAATGGATTTATTTTGGGTATAAGCTGCTGCTGCTCTTAAGTTATTCCCATGTTTCAGTCCTATATGCTCTAGAAAAAAAAATCCACCATCACTGCTAATCTCTTGTTCTCCCTCCAATCTTTCTCACTGTTCAGCTCCCTGCTAGCCTCCAGTACTATTACCACCCTGCACCAGTTTGGCCTCAGTACAAGAAGGGCGCTCCAGTGTTCCTCACCACAGTGTGCGCACCTCCGGCTCCACCGCCTCCGCCCCAGCAGGTATTTGGCTACTACATCTTGCCGCAGCCATCTCCGCAGTTCATCCTGCCTCAGGCCAGTCTGCAGCCGTGGGGAGCTGTGAAGGGTTAGACCATCCAGGAACCCGTGGGGTGAAGGCGGATAGAGCATTATAAGCTCCTTCAACTGAGCCGTTTCCTGTCAGGTCTCTGAGTTCAGCTAAACCTGGGCCAAAAAGAACATTTTCACTGTATAGCTCACTGTTGTTCCTTGCACAACCTGTAATAATTCGTCTCTCCTTTTGAATTCCATTGCATTGTAATTGATTACTTGTACTCAGCACAGAGATACCACTGAACTTGTGTGAAAACTGTTTCCTGTTAAGTCTGCACTGCTAATGTTTTTTTTTTTTTTTTTACATACTGTACACATTAAGAATGACTTCAGTCACCGGGTGCTTGGACTAACTCAGGGACTCTCAGCAATATGCTCAATGCCAAATAATTGTCTTTTCAGGTGTTATTTCTATTAATTCAATCTCTGTCAGTTTCACCAGATGTGGTCCACTGTGTGTACTTCACAGTTAATCAATGTAAAATGTGATTCAGGGTTTTATCTATTGTAGCTAGAGTGACAAAATCTGTATATTAAGAAGAATATTTTTACTAAACTGCTTGTAAATAATAGAGAACTTAGATACCACACACTTTCTAATATTAGTCTTTTTGTCTTAATTTATTTGGCCACCAGTGGATGGCGCTCAACTCACAGCTAATACATGAAATTGTATTTTTTATTTTTTTTTTTATTAACAGTTGCTGCTGAATATTGCAAATCTAACTTCACAGAACACAAGCGTGGTTTTAAACTGCTTAAACTCTTTCTGCTGTCAACAAAATGCAAAGACATGCTTCTTATTCAGGTGAAATTTAGGGGCTGCTTAAAGCTGTGTTTAAAAGAAAAAAAATAAAGTTTTAAAGTTTTTGAAAATCCGCTACCAGTATATATTCTGAATACAATCACATTTCACTCACTGATTCTTATGTACTGCGATTATTTAATTATTTGGATGTATATTTATTTACTGCCCATGCAGCTTTGAAGCTCATCTGCCTACTTAAACATTGTTTTTCTTTTGCATTTACTTTTTTTTTTTTTTTACTGCAATGGATTAAATCACCCTCTACCTGTAATTTGAAGTTGTGTTCTCTTTCTTATATAATCAGTACTCTTGAGTGCAGAGTTGATTGGTGCTGCGTGTTAAGAGTTGTCTGTGTTTTCTCTCATAAAAATATTTTGTAATTGACCTAGAAAGCACCTGTCAGGCTGAACACTACTCAAACTCATGCTGTCAGTCAGAGCTGTGAGGACAGTCATTATACCGTCAGCAGGATGCTGCAGCGGAAGGACTCTTGTGTGCTGGGTGCGTCATTTAGCCCAAGGTCATGACGCTGTTCCTCCTTTAACAGGCCTGGTAAATAGGGTGAGGGAAGAGTTTGTGTGTTACTTTTTGTTTGGCCTACGGTGGAATTACCTTTTGAATTCACTTGAAGGAAATGAAAGGGCATCTTGGCTACTCAGATTGCCAAAACACAGATACCATTAAACAATGAAAAGTAAAGTAGGCATATTTACAGGTATAATTAAGAAAGACTAGAGACAGAGCACCAAAAAACACCTATAAAATCACGTTTAAAATGGATGACTACAGAGTAGAAGCCACGAAAGTCATAAGTCATTGCCAGTCTCAGTGAACCCCGAAGAATATTTCGAGTACACCACGACAAGTCAGTTATTCAACCACCAGATGTCCCACTGTAGCTATTGAGGAACACCATTGTTGCAGTGTGTTACCAAAAATAAAATAAAAACCTTGAGGTTCATTGAGGATACATAATCTTTTCTATTTTCATAGTTTGCCTTATTCATTCATGTATCTATTTTTCATAGAAGGAAAACAAGGCTTTCTGTGGCTTGTTCCCTGATAAATAACACACTTCTTTGAAGCTCTTTCTAAATGAGTTTTTCTACCAAAGTTGCATTTTATCTGATCAGACTGATCCAATTCACACGAAGAAAAACATACAACAACATCAGGTTCACTGTAAAACAGTATAAAAACAGCGAACCTGCAATTTAATTCCTGCGCTTTAATACGTTTGGGAGCGCACCAGGCACAGACGCAGACACACACACACACACACATACATACATACACACATACACAAACACACACACACACACACACACACACACACACACACACACACACACACACACACACACACACACACACACACACAGCACGCAAAGAATTCATTTGCGGCAGACTGACGCACACTCCTAAAATAATAAGCCAAGCAAATAAGAGCACACAGCCCGCTGCAGTGTCCAGGGGACATCAGTGCGCGTAATCACGCCGCGCCGGTTGGTAGGTGTGTTAAGGTGAGGGTGTATTAGGGACCGAGTGCTTTGGTAAACCCGCTACTTCGATGAGCAACAAACGAGAGAAGGGCCTGGTATACAGTGCGCCCATCGGACTATGCCTTCCCCAACTTGGGAGGGAAGCAAAGCGGAGACCGGACAGACAGAGGACGGAGCAGCGGAGAGCGACGACAGGGAGAGAGGGACTGGCGGCCGTCTCCTGTGCGCTCTGGAGATGGAGATGACAAACCGCAGCCTGCACGGCGACTCCAAAGTGGACTGTGTAAATTGCGATGGCTTGATCAGTCGAAACGGCGGGGACTCGGCAGAAGTATCCGTGCCGCTGTCACTTCCCGGGAAGCGGACAACCCTTATGGAAGGGGACGACCTCCACAGACTGCGAGACAGAAAGGTTTTATTAGAGGATAAAAAGCGCCTTTGCGCGTTGGCTTTGGGGACCGCTCTGCTCGGGATACTGCTCATGATAATCCACGCCGAGCTGTGTCCCTTCATTTATAAACCGGTAGGTTTAAGAAATTAACCACACTAATGTCTTGGCTTGTGTATGAATGATCAAATCAGACTACTAATCAGAAAGAAATAGATTGGAAACGTTTGAAATGTGACATTTAGGCTAAAGCTCTAGCAATACAACCTTGCATCTCCATGTTTACACCACAACTCTCTTTATGACGTCAATTTCACAAATCATATGAGCTGTAGTGACACATGACCTTTTGGCAAATGTTGAAAAGGGTTTAAGTCAGCGCACATCTGCATTTGCATTTGCATCTTTAGACCATTTACACAGCAGTGCATGTTCTGTAAAGCAGTTAAATCTTTGACATCAACATCACATTCACGTTGCTCTGGACAGCTGGTTAAAACATTTTACTGTTGGCCCTTGAACTCATCATGAAATGATCAAATAATGTACAAATCATCATCTTCTTGCTTTGAGAATCATGCAGTGGCACCAAAGCCTGTTAACAACTGCGCTGCTGCTGCTGTGAGGCAACCTCTCAACTCTCCTTCAACTCGTGTAGCAGTTTCTAGTGATCAATTATGAGACCATGATAGAACAGATACATACAAAATCAACAGATTGATATTAAATCATGTTGTCTTTTACTCCTGACATATTTCAGTAACTAGATTGACCATAATTGGTGTAGAAAAAAAACACCCTTACACAACTGGCTGTATTTGTTGTCATAACAACCTCCTTGATTAGCAGACAGCACAGGACCCATGCAGCATAACAGCAGAATCTGCACCTGGGCTTTGAACCTCCCTGACCTACTGATTAGTTAGTCCATTTCCAGACACACTATTTGGTAGCACAGCCTCATGACATTAACATGCAGATCTCAGTGGATAACAATGCCAGGCCACACAATCAACAAATTATTAACTCCCCCTGACTTCCTACAGCACACGCCAGTTCCACATGTGGAAAAAAGTTCTCATGCATGCCGCAAAACATCAGACCACCTCCATGCTGTGAAGTCAGTGATTGATTACGGTGTCAAAGAGCCCCACATTACTAACTCCCAATCTTTTGAGAAACCTATGGAAATATGGCCTAACCTTCAAAAACTATGGCTGCTGCGTTCAGGGAGTTGAACCTGGAGAAACACTGGTTGTGAAATTAACAGTGCTGGCACGAGTATGACATTACTATTCCAGTTTACAAATATGAACCAAGAACAGGTGTTGTCTGTCCATTCCTAACAACAGGCATCGGCTTCGGTACCATGGAAATGCTGATGCACTGGAAAAGTGTTCTCTGCTGCAGTTAAAGTGTATTATTTTGAAGAGGCTGCCTTGCTGATTTAACCATAGATTGTACAACTATTGTCAGCATTCATCTTTAAACATCATGTGATGAGTCATGAGTGTGACCTGTGACCCCACCCACCCCCACCCCCACCCCGTGGACTGACATGACTTTTGGTCACACAGGGGCTGTCTTAACAAAACACAGCATCTCTGCTGTGGCCGGTGGTGCAAAATAGAATTATTGCTTTTTATTTTTAAAAGCATTTTAAAGTATGCTGCAGGATATTTTGGAGCTGCCCTATCAAAGTTAACGCCAGTCTACATAGTTATATTTTAAGCATACCTTTTCATGGTTATGCACGAAAACAGGGCTATTTATGGAACGTTTTTCCACATTTCACCTCTTCCCCTGCAGCGAGATTGCTCACAGTACTTCAGGCTATCTTTCCACATCATTTAGTGTATAATTAGAGTGTTTGCATGGCCAGTCTAAAAGTCTCTATGTCTTGAGTTCGGCTGGGCTAGAGCCAGGAGTGTGCACTTTGACCTGGATGCAACCTCATGTCCTCTTTTCTGCAACTCTCTGACGACTTTCCTGGAATGACTTCATCACTTCAATCCAGAACAATATCCACACATTGAGGCTAACAAGTCGAGCACAATGTCCAATTTTTAAAAGAATTATTCCTAGATGTTTGAACAAGAGGTAAAGTGGATCATTTTGATGAGCTCTATTGACTGTGGGTTGCAGGGTAGCTTTGTCAGATCAGACCTAAGAGGCAACATCTTTTGGTCAGACAGGCTTTACAGTTTTGGAACATCCCTCCATTAAATGTATGATACAGGAACTATTACCACACCTTTGCATATAATCTTAAAAAGCATCCACCCCAGCCAGACCTGCCATCTCACCTCGTCACTGCATTTTCCGTCTGCAGTTGTCAGGCTGTGTCCTTCTGTCTTGTTTTACCGGTGAAATTATATGTTCTATGTGTTATCTATTATTTGCCCTTTATTTTACAGTTTAATTTTTAAGTTAGAAAAAATATGTATCATGAAGGAAATTTAATATTGGATAAGTAAATTAATGGCTTTAAACTCAGAGCAACCAATTACATACTGTAGCAATATAGTCAAATACATATAAAAAAATAAAATAAGTTCTGAACATCAATCTGAATCTATTTTAAGTGTTGTGGCCCACGTATTGTGTAAAATGACAGTTGACAGTCGACTTTTCTTTAGACTGAATGCTGCAATGTGGTTGTATATCACCCACACATGGAAACCTGGCTTACATACAGTTTCTGACACACATGCAAATTAGCACAAACCAGCCCATGCTACATCATCTGTAACTTCACTGTTTGCAACATGTTACAAGTCACCCCAAATACACCATTCTGTGTATTATTGTACGTTTGGCTCATAAACCACGAGATGAAACACACAACTTACTTCATATGAGCTAGCCACGTCCCATAAACATCAAGCCAAAACAAGCACAAAAGCACAGTGTCCATAATTGGAACTGAGCCATGACAACCAAAACTGTGTATGATACCCCGGTTATTTCACCAATGACTTTTCAGAGAGCAGGAATTATAGAAATGAGCTGCTATAGTGATTAGTGGGCATGAACAACTGGCCTCCTCCTGAAGATCCTATTCCTGTAGGAGAGTGGTTCTCAATCCCAGTAAATTCCCTGGAGGGCTGCTGAGACACTGCAGTTAACCATTAACTAACTAGCTACTTAGAAAGAAAAGCAGTAGGACGGAAAACCTGTTCTACAGAGTGACGTAAAGTGGTATTCTACTCACATGTTGTCTTTGAGGGCTAGAGATCCGCTGGTTTTTGCTCCTCTCTGACAGCTGGTCAGCCACACCTGTCCTGTACACAGTCTACCTGAAATCACAAACATTGTCTGATGCAGTGACTGTTATGGTAAGAGTCACTCTTACTGTAATATTCTTAGCATCTCCATATGTATGCTGTAGGTAGTGAAGTCACCTCATGCAGCTTTTGGTTGTTATTAACCAGACCTGCAAATGCTTTACCCTCCGTGACATCTCTTTTCCTGCAACTGTCCCACTACACAAGTATAATAATCTTTTTGGTTATTATAAGTGAATTCATAAGTTTATTAGAGGACACCTCTAGATCCATGAGTGATCTATAGCACAAAAATCTAGTTGAAAGCAAATGAAACCACCCTGACTAAACCACCAAATTAGAAAACTGAAGTCAGATGCACGTATTATTGCTTTGGAAAGTATTTATTTATCTCGGAACATACAAAACAGACCATTGGATTCAGTCTTTTATTTTATTTTTTTATTTTTTTTGCTATGCCTTGGGTGGCCTGTCCTGGTTACGGTGGCTCATTGTCCGTCCAAGACTATGAGAAACAATCCGTGTTAAGGTTAACCCAAATTAGGTTCACCGGGCTTGAAATGACTGTTTCCAACAGGAAAAGGCAAGAAACATGTTGCTGAACTCTCTGTTATGGAATGTGGTGAAATGTTGAGCTTTTGTGGAGTCTTCTAATTAGCCCTGGACGAAATACAGACATGATGTGGATGCTACGGGAGAAACTGGAAAACGACGTACTTTGCCAACGGACGTCACACCATACCACCTACACGCGCAAGTTTCCTCAAGTTTGAAAGTTTGCAATTATCTTTTTAACTGTAAACCACATTAAACTGCACGTCCCGTTAAAAACTTCCACTGACGTTGCATCAGTTACACTGGGATGCATGAATAAAGGGTGTAGCTCTTTAACCTGCTGAGACCAAGGTGGTATATGGCAGAGGCCTGTGCTTATTTCTTAATTCAGTTTGTGACAACATATAAGACAATTAGAGACAAACCATCAGTGTCTGTGTCTCCTGCTGTCAGTTCCCTGGAATGAAAAGTGTTTAAGTACAAGCACTCTCATTACTGTAATTGAGTGACTTTTTTGGAGTACATTACAGAATCAGTAATTCCAGTTTCATTAGGCCTGAGTTCTGTAAAAAAAAAAAGAAAAAGAAAAAAAAAGAGAGGCAAGAATTAGAGCAGCCAACCGTTTTGCTGTTATAACACAACCGGCAGAATATTCCATTTGAACTCGCTCCAAATGATCTTTTATGAAAAAGGAAATCTCTGACATTTAACCTTTGTTATAAAGAAAAAATGGTTAACACACTTTTGAGAGCATCACAGATTAGAGAGGGATCGACTGGTAGCATTGGTAGGATTGATAGCACACTAAAAGACAGAAGTACAGAAGATGTATAGTTTCTATACTGAAAATTGCATTGTTCATGAATGTATCTTAACATGTATGTACCCAAAAGGGGTACAAGGTGGTTAGGTCTGCAACCAACTATACATTTTTGATTAATCTGTGAATTATTATGACTGTTTCATCGATAAAATAAAACAAAATGCATATTGAAATATAGCATTGTCTGCAAAGCAGACCAAAACTCAAGAGTGTTTAATTTACAGTGATGTTAAACTGCAAAGAACACCATGGGAAGCTGAAAATAGTGAATGTTCACATTTGTTTTGCATTAAAATTGTTGTTCATTTTCTGTTGATTGTCTAATCGAATAATCAACTAGGCCTACATGTTTCAGAAACTAATTAAGTCCTTTTGATATAATTTGACCAAATTTTTGTGCCAATTCTGTGTGAACTAAAGGTACATGCTTGAGTAAGTTAAGGTTGCACACTGACTGGGGTACCTAAATGGTGCCAACAGATGAAGAAGCACTTTACCACCAGTGACGAGACTTACGTTTAATGCTTGGCACAGTTGGCAGCACAGTTGCACTTGGGTGGGAAGCTGGTGAGGCATCTGTCCTTGCAGTTGAGCTACTCCTCTTCGTTGATCTGGCCACGCAGCTGGGGGTAAATGGCTGCTGCAATGGGAGGGAAAACAAAACAAGACTAGGTCAAATCCTAGTATGTGTCTGGACCGCCTATGATCAAATCCTGATTCTATAACCAAGATGTTTGTCAAAAATCAACAAACACATAGATTGAATACCAAGACTTTGCTGTGATTTCAGTTATATTTACTGTAAAATGATCGCTTAGACAGAAAGTTAGAAGTGACAGAATATCTTTCTTATTTTGTCCCTCACACAGCGCACAGCCTCCTTCTGTGATCCACGACAGTTTAGCCTTTATTTACCTCAACTCCAGAGGGTAACAGACGTTTATTAGAGGCGGGTCTTTATTTTTAACTCTCTCTGTTTGATATGTAGAATTGATCTTTTCGGTTTGTAGGGAGCCTCGTTTTCAGTCGCTCCCATCTGGTTTAAAGTTACTGCATTATGTGTTAATACAAACTCCACATTTCCTGTAATCATTTCAAATTAAAAGTTCAGTGGACAGAAACCCTTAAAAATGCTTTTATTGCTGTGCTGCAGGAAGCGTATCGTTTCATTTCCGGTTGCTGGTGTTTCTGCATAAATGCATTACATTATGTGTCTTATGTTTAGTTTTTTCTCCGCCTCCTTTAGCAATAATGATACATGTAATGAAAGTAGTTTAGTTGCTGTAATGGAGGCGAATTTTACTTAAACATTTGCACATAAACACATGAAATGCTTGAAATGTATATGTAATGATTTAACTAACTAACTGACTGACTGACTAATCTTTTCACAGGCATGTGCTGACAGTCAGGAGGTCATATTGGTCTGCAGGACCATATGTTACCAAGTCCCTGTCTGTTTTAAACTTTTTATTTTAGTAATCTTTAAATGTAATCTCACCTCTCCTCATATAATATAATAAACACTTGTACTTGATTTGGATATTCCAGTACCGCAGTCATTACCACAAAAACCTTGTTAATGGAGAACATCCTTTAATCAACTGTTCCTAGAGAGCCATCATTTTATGCCTTATCTCCCTTGTGTTCGTTTCCTTCCCAGGGTTCAAACATCGACTTAATCATCAACTGTTCAATCAGCCTGTCCACTGGGTGTCTGCTCATCTTCATTATAGCTTTCCATTATAAGGACATCAGGGTGAGTTTGCTTTTTCCCCTTTGTGTCCATCAGTCATGTGCAGGTGCATTGTTGATCTTCAGGGCTCGAATTTCATTATTTTGTACATCACTTTCTGTCTTCAAATTGGCACAAACGTTTACTTGGATTCAAGGATGAACTCATGCAATTCTGGTGGTCAAAGGTCAAAGGTCAAGATCACCGTGACCTCATGTCCATCCCATTCTTGTGAACTCGATATATCATTAATCTGACAGAAATTTCCTCTTGGACTCAAAGATGAAATGATCAGAAGTTGGTGGTCAAGAGTCAAAGGTCGAGGTCACTGTGACCTCACAAAACACACTGTTGGCCATAACTCAAGAATTCATACACTAATTATGACACATTTACACAAATATCCAATAGGATAAAATGATGAAGTGATTTTGTATCCAAAAAGGTCAAAGGTGAACTTCCCTGTGACATCACAAAAACACCTTTCTGACCATTACTCAATGCCACAACTCAGGAGCAGAAGGCGAAATTGTGACCATATTTCACATTTGGTCGGAAACCGACTTGATGACACTAATCTTGGGTGCCCAACTTGAAACTGTGTTGATTGCATAGCTCTTTTGTGCTGCTGGGTTAAAAGGTCTTCACTGCATACATCATATGAGCCTGGACAAGACAAGAATGTAAACTGCAACTTGACAGGTCGGCGGAGGCATATGACTGCGAGGCGGTAGTCTTAGTTATACCAGTAGTGTTTGCTCCAAATTAGCTTGGTTAGAATGATACTTTGTTAGAGATACTTGAGGGCAATTGTTTTAGAAGGACCTCTCGGTCCACTGATGGTAGCCTCAACACTGATTATCTGTGTTTTATTTGCTGTATGCGTAAAAAAATCCTGGACAAAAACCTCAGCCCACACAGGCATGCACAATGTTGCAGCTGCAATATTTTTCCAATCCATATGGCTCGCTGCCATTCACGGGAATGGGAAAGTGGTCTCAGACTTTTGGACCCCACTGTATATGAAGGGATTTGGTTGAAATTAAACAGAGTAAACATTTTTTCATTTGCTCTCACACACACTCACAGCATGAGTATTCAATAAAGTACAGCAACAAGTGCAAAAAATACTGTGTATGGAGAGTATACTGAGCTACGCGGCAGGATTCATGGTTTCTTTTATCGTTGTGGTTGGGCTCCTGGGTTTGTACTCTAACCTACAGGGTTTTCTGTTTGGTTGCAAGTCATGTGTGTCTGATACAAGAGGGGTCCATTCCAAGTGTGTAGGGGAGATAAGGGAGGGCAGGTTTAGGGTGGAGACTAACACACATTCAGTGTTCAGCGATACCTAGTGTAGCTTTAATGCTTTGGTGTCAGAAGTGACAAACTAAATTGTGCAAGAACATCACGATGTCTCAATCAGAGGAGCAAGGATAAAGTTTTTATAAATGAATGGGAGAGTAGAAATTCTTGAGAATCGTGACCTGCTTAATTTCCTTTACTTTCTTGAACAAACTGAAGTGCAATGGAGCTACACAGTGATGGCTGAATTACTAATGTAAACTAGCATACGAGTTTCCCCCCGAGATAGCTAGTGGACATCTGCAGTTTAACATTCTTATCTTTTGAGGCTTAAAAAAAAATTTTCTTATCACAGCCCTTTTCAAACACAGTGTAGTGTAGAGCACTATGTATCTGCATTTTTCTTAAACCGTTTCTTCCGTGTTATGTAACAAATAAATTGATAAGATGTTCTTTCGTTTTGTCCAGACAGAATTATTATTACTAAGTTTAATAAAAATAGCTCATCAACAGGTGCAGCAAAGCAGGGAGCACCTTTAATAATGTCATCAATTAGTATCGTAGGAAAATGAGAGATGAAGTTGAAGCTAGCGAGAGGAAAGAGAGCTTTGTTTGTTTGTTCACATCCTGATAAGGATGATTTAGACAAGATGATTTCCAAACTTTACATATTAACATTAAGATGTGACTGTATTTTTAATGATTTCCATCTCCAACTTCTATCATGATTTCCATCTTCTCTCACTCTCTGTCTTTACTGTTATCTTCCATCTTTCAGCTGTTCGTCAATGACCACAACCAGTTGGACTGGCGTATTGCCATGACCAGCCACAGGGTTCTTGTGATCACTCTGGAGCTGTTGGTCTGTTCCATCCATCCTGTTGGCACATACTGGAAGGTGGGCCCCCATGTCAACTCCTCTTCTACAGCTCCGCTCTGTGTTTCCAACCATCACAACGACGTCCTGGTGGACATGGAGCTGCTGTTATCAGTGCTGATGTTCCTCCGCTTGTACTTGGTGCACAGAGCCATCCTGCTGCACAGCAAAGTGCTGCTGAGTGCCTCCTATCGGAGCATCGGCTCGCTCAACAACATCAACTTCACTTTCCGCTTTGTGCTCAAGGTACTGATGAACAAACACCCGGCACGCGCGCTGCTGGTCTTCATCCTCTTCTTCTGGCTCACTGCGTCCTGGATGCTTACTCTGTGTGAGAGGTAGGGAAAGAGAACTGCATGTAAGTAATCAATACAGATGTACTGATCCAAAGATTGTGGAGTTATAAGTTAGGAGTCTAACTACTTGCAAAAAACTGGTATGATATACCACAGGTTGTGCATACTAAACATTATAATTACACCATAACATCTTTGCAAATAAGAGTCACATACAGTGAGCACTTACACCAACCTTGGAGATTGCCCGTTCATATTTTGAAGAAAATCCATCAAAAAAAAAAAAGGGATTGTTTTAAACTGGAAAGCCTTCAATGAGCAGTCTACCTTGAAATATACTGTAATTCATAAATCATACTGATATAATGTTGAGAAGTAAAGTAAACAACAAAAAAAACAAAAAAACAAAACAACACTAATGACTATTTTCAGACATAAAACAGGTTGTCCATTCACTAAAGAAAAGACAGGAACAGAGATATACTTACTCTCCTTCTTGCAGAGAGTTAAATGAGAAGACTGAATCCTCTCTCATTTCTGTACAGTACATATGAAACTACAGCCAGCAGACAGTTAGCTTAGCTTAGCATGGCATAAAGACCATAAGCAGGCATAGTGTGATTCTCTCTGAAAGGTAAAGGTAAAATGACACATTGTGGTTTTATAGGACTATTTATTGGCACAGTTAGAGGTGCTGGTAGAACAGAGTCAAACAAGCCGTAGCCCCCTGTCTCCACCCTTTGTGCTACGCTAAGAAATTAGGTGTATTTTTGACTAAGAACTGTTGGCAGAATAATGAAATAAAATGAATTTGACTTTGACACGTAATCTTTGCTTGGGCGTATCGTCATCTCCTTTTAGGAGAGAGTTGTTCCTGCTCAACAAATATTGACTGGACTCAGCAACTAGAAAATGTTAACTCTGAAAGAATGCCAGTTGTTTGCTTTCCATAATAATCTCTAGGGCCATTAGTTTTAACATTAACATTATGTCCTTTATAAAAGGCACCTTTAACTATTAGTTGTCATGGAATGAGCAAATTAAGTAAATTTTTCCAGTGAATCAAAATAGAAACAAATTCGTTGAGCAAACTATGTTTTTCTCTTTCTGTGGAAGACTTTGTCAGGCTCTCAGTTATCAGGCTCTATTCACTGTTTTGTGCAAAATAGTGAATAGAACTTTTGAAATATTGATATCTTAAAAAATGTTTGTTCATAGTACTCTCTCTCTCTCTCTCTCTCTCTCTCACTTTCTCTCTCTCTCTCTCTCACTCTCTCTCTCACTTTCTCTCTCTCTCTCTCCACACCACACACAGACTTTGATGGTCAATTTGTTTTCCCATGCAAAATGGATGTCCAATAACTGATTTGATAATCACATTCTATTTTGTTACTCTAACAAGTCTCTCTTAATACGTGAGCCAACTAAACGTCAGCCTGATGCTCTGCATTCTGTTTGGCTGTTTGAACAGTGTGAGGTCATCTGTTCATCTGAACCTTAATGGGAGGTTTTGCCTTCACTTTCACATGTCTCACTCTCGAATGTTTTGATTTGCCAGAAGTAATAAAAGAGCTTTTGATTGATAGCGGATAAAAACACCAAATGTTTTAAAACTGAACCCTTACACCAGCCATTTTCTATACTAGTTGACTGCCACATCCAGGAGACAGATGAACACTTGCACACTGACTGACCGCTTTGTGTGGCTTGCCAAGTGTACATTGGACTTGTGCTTTACAATGTTTTACAAGTTTACACTGATACCCATTTCATAACTTCCCAAGTGGTGTAGAGCATCAGCGCTGTTTGATTTACGGAAAACACCTTTATCAAACGTAGAAGACTCTGCACAGGAAACGGGTGTTTCATTTATCACTGTATCTAACACGTTAAGTTTCACAGAGTTTTAAAGTTTGAGTTTTAAACTGCTTCACAGACTAATGAGTTTTGTTTAGGCAGCTTTAAATTTCCAAGGAAGGAACTTATATATAACTGCAATCAAAAGAAGGTTCCTTGAAAGCACTGTGTCATTTGGTATTCATTACAGGACATTACAGGGAGAATCTGTTGTGTTCCAATTGACTGCTAGAGTAACCTATGGAGTCTTTAAGCCAGTGCACAGTAGATCAGCTGAACACGCACAAATGTGAAATTTGTCTATAGGCAAGCACACAATTTAACATATGGATTGGGAGGGGTGATATTACGATATAGACAATGAATTTATATACATTTATCTACTGTCAGAGTTTTTGCCATACTGTTTGCGGAAGTTAATATTTTAATATATATGGTTATATTAGGTCTTCGGCTGTCTCCTGGTAAAATTAGATCCTCACAAGATTTTTGCATCAGTATAGTTAGGCACCTTAATTTGTCAGCTATCTCATTGGAACATAATGTATGGATATAGATCTTTCTAGAAAACTAACAAAATCGAGACATCTACCGCATAGATATTGCAATATAAAATTATGAAGAAGAGTTTATTTGTATCACCTGCTCGTATATGTACATGTAAAGTTACTTAATCAATAATGAATTCATATTTATTTATTTATTTCAATAGAGCAGATTTTTCATGGTAATACCTCTGGAAATCGACAATTGCTTACAAACTTAAAATGGTTACGTTCAATTAAAACATTGTTATGTATACAGAGATTGAAAATGGTATTGAATGTTTAGATTTAAGGTGGATGGGCTTATGTAAAAGTTCATTCTGGTTAGTTTATGTTAAGAATGTCGTCTAACTACAGTGGGGTCCATTAGAATGCATTTCACACATTTTGTCACAGTCTCAGTCTCCGCTTTCTCCTCCCTGCAGACAGACCAGCAGACAGACCAGCGTATCAACAGGCCACATGGACACAGCCCTGTGGCTCATAGCCATCACCTTCCTCACAGTGGGCTATGGGGATGTGTCGCCCTCCACCAGCTGTGGCAAGGCGGTGTGTCTCTTCACTGGAGTCATGGTAACTAGGTTGGCTTTGCTTGTTGAAAAAATGTCATATTTAAGACACTGAAGAATTTTTGCTCTTTTTTGATTCATCGAGAAATACAAAGGTTTTAAAATCAATTTTGTTCACGTGGTAAAGGAATTACATGCAGTTGTGTTCATATTGAAGTAATAAAACACACAACACTTGTTATATTACTTCATTTCAAGTGGTTGTTTTTCCCTTTATCAGAAAATGATTTAGCTAGCACAACAGCTTTAACAGAAATGGCGCTCAGCTTGTTTCACTTCTGCAATTGTTCTTAACCAAACCAGCTCACATTTCTCTGTGTGCATGAGCAGCCTGATAATGCACAAACACAAGATGTTCTGTTGCTGCTCCTTTCATTTTGTTGTGCTGTGCTCTCTCTCTCTCTCTCTCTGTAGGGGGGAACTTTCCCCTTACTTTTACTTTTATTCCATTTCTTCTCTGTTCTGTTCTGTCTTCTACTCTTCCCTGGTCTATTCCAATCTGCTCTGCTCAAATCTAATGTTCTGATTTGCCTCATTTCATTCCATTTGGTTACTTTTGATTCCGTTGTATTCTGATATATCTCAGTCTATTTTGTTCCGTTCACTTCCTCCCCAGTATATTCTGTTCTGATTTGTTCTGTTTTATTGTCCTCTGTTCTGTTCCTAATTGTTCTGCTCTTTTCTGTTCCACACTGTTCCATATCATCCTCTTTGGTCTGTTTCACTCCCCTCTGTTCCTGCTATGTTCCATTGCAGCAACTCTTCCCCCGTTTTCCTATTTAATTTTTCCCATTTCATATCATGTTCAGTCCAGTTTGGTTAACTTCTCTCCTGCGCCTCTTGTGTTCCACCCAGGCCTGTTCTGCTCTATTCCACTAGTTATCTTGGACACATTGGAGCCTTTCTGCCCAGCTGCACACCCTAGCGGTGCTGACAGACCTGCATGCTTTCATTCCCTTGTGTGTGTGATTTAGATCACAGCTGTAAATTAATGGACGGTGCCTCTGCAGGACCTTGGCGGTACCAGGCACTCACACGAAAAGACTGAGAGAGGGAATCTGTCAAGCATGCAGTGGGCGCTGTGCAGCCCACACACAACATCTGTATGGAGGGTGATGTTTCTGCCTGGTGATGACACTGTTCTGCTGCGCTCACTGACTTTCTTCCTCGTCATATCTTGTGGAGATATGTCACATGAGAGGTTAAATTTAGATTACTTGTTTATCTCATCTTAAAATAAAAGAAATAAGTATCCCAGAGTGAAAGTGGAGAAAGCATCACAGTCACTTCACATTAGTTTTATTCTGTGCATAGGAGCACAATGACATCAAGATAAGATTGCAGTTTTTATGGCAATGCAGAGGAATGGCAAGATTATGGCTGAAGGAGAGGTGGAAGGGAAGGTCAGAGATAAAGATGGAAGGTTAAAGGGATGTGGAAATCATATTTGAGATAAAACACAAAGAGTTACAGTAGAATAAAATGAAGTCACTGGGGGCAAGGAGTGGCTGTGTATTTGAATAGGTAACAGACATTGGTTTGCTGCCAGCTGCCTCACCTGTGCTGCTTTAGATTCTGCTACCAGCAGATAAGAGTCACCACCATGGTTTTGGATGTGTCTGGTTTAGACACCTCTGTGACAAAGTGGAAAACAAATCTTTTCCCTCTCTCTTTCTCCATCTCCCTTGTTTTTATAAGCCTCCCCCCCCTTATAAGGGAAAACTTTCCACCATATCCATTTTTAGGTGGTTTATTGTCTTTGGCACCACTACAACAGGAGGGTGTGCCAACCTGTGCCCATGATTTGGAAAAAAATTTCCTACTCCCATCAGGGCAGTTCTGGGAGCCAGTGACTGGGGTGATGCTCACACCTGTAATATGGCTGAAAGCATCTACGGTCAGCACTTCTGCTCCACTCCAGCCATAACTCAATTTGCAGCTGTGTTCAGGGGCTGACAACACTGTTTGCATCCCATCACTATGTGTGGATGGATCCACGGAAAGAGTTTGTACCTCCGTGGTTTTCACAGACGGTGTAATGACGGATATTTTATGGCTGTTGGAGTGAAGGATAAATTTATCTTTTAAAACTGGTTTGTGCTTTCTAATGCTCAGGCTTGATGTTGCTCTCTCCTTCTTTCCTTCTCTCTTTCTAATGCAAGCTGAAAAGAGGAAAACAGGTAAACACTAATTAATCTTTTATCATTATCCATGGTGTGCATGGGTTCTGTGCAGTGTTTTGTCTGTGTGTCCTATTATGTCTTTATTCCTGTGAGTATGTGGATGTGATTTGCTCTGCGGCCCATCCGAATACTCACCATCGTTCTGTAGTTCCCTGTCCAGCAATAGCACAAGGCTATTCTCAGAGGAAACCCGCACTATTATAGCAGTGCCACAGAGGCCTGTGTTTAACCATTGAACTCTCTGTGTAAATATAACTTTGATTTATTGGATGAAAGCATATGAAGTATGAAGATCAACATTCAGTTTTCTCAATAAGTTCTCAAAAGACGCCAGAGCCACTGTTGAGGAGTCAGACGAAATCAGGCTTAAAATCCGCCTGTAAAAGTTTACATCACTCTCTCTTGAGTTCAGCCTTGTTGATGTCACTACAGTATTCTGGATCAGTCTTGCTCGATCATTGGGAATTTGTTGAGGCAGATGTTAAATATATCAGTAACCATGCCAACAGCTCTCTGTCTGTGTGTGTGTGTGTGTGTGTCTGTGTGTGTGTGTGTGTGTGTGTGTGTGTGTGTGTGTGTGTGTGTGTGTGTGTTGGGTTTTAGGGTGTAGCCTGCACTGCCATGCTGGTTGCAGTTGTTACCAAGAAGCTGGCGTTGAACAAAGGAGAGAAACATGTGCATTTCTTCATGCTGGACATCCAGATCTCTAAAAGGGTAAGAGTAACGCAATATTTTTCTCAGCAGAAGTGTATTATAATGTTTATAAAGTTTACATTATTAAACTCTGGAATATCAGAACAATATAACTGTTTGTCAAGATGTGGATTGTTCTTTGTTAGTTTAGCAATTTTTTTTTCATCAGCTATATGACTTTTTGGATGTGCACGCATCGCCACTTTTGCGCCACTTTGCTTTGGAATTCAGCTGTTTTGAATCATTTGCATCATTCTTACTTTTTGCATGTATTGGAGCAAATACTACAACGTACATATACACCCCACATAACTGCTGTATCTGTTTCCAAATGAGCTGTAAGATTTCTGAACGTACTTTTCTTTTCGTCCATGTAGCTATTGGTTTCGATTAATGTATGAAAATACTTATTTATCAATCCCAGTGAGACACCACCGTCCTGCCCAGAGTTTAAGTGAGGTTTGCACATGAACCAGTTTATCCATTTCTCTGTCAATCAACATATCAATACTCCTGATCTTTATTGGCAAAATGAGCCACCATGCTTACTTGTAACGCCTGCTTGTGTGTTATTATGCTGACCTAATGAACATGTGGGCATCACACTTTAGCTGTGTTCCATTCTGCCTGGGGGGGGCAGTTTTAATTATTAATTATGATGTTTTTGTAAATAATTCACATTCTAGAAGTTGACCAATGACCAATGGAGTCAGAGTGGTGTGTTTGATTTGAGTTTATGAGTTTAGTTTATATGCTGTCACAGATCATAAATAAATCATCATTTTCAAATAGTTTTGGTAATTCTGAAAAAAAGAAAATGCGCTATATACCTGTAGCTAAAGCTAATGAGATGATATATAATAAGGCAGCTTTTGGCCTGTGACTGAAAGGGTTATGTCTGTGATATTTTTGTCAAAGTAACTGGAGCATTGCGTGGTAATACAGCTGTAAGTGCAGAATGATTTGAAAAGTCTGTATTGCATTGCCAGACAACAATAACATAACTCAACTAAAAAAACAAAACAAAAACGAAAACATTTTTACACTGGAAAAGGCCTGGTAGTTAAAATATGTAAACTATGTTACAGTATTTGTATAGAATGGGACGAAACAATTCAGGTCATTAGTAGGAAACCACCATAAGGCAGAATTCAAAGATTGTCTTTACATCCAGTTATTAACAGATTAACAGCTCAGTATAGGTCAGATACTTTATCATCAATCATCTTAGACGTGGTGTCATGTGACTAAATAAACCATAATGACATCACAGACTCTCTTGTACCACAGAGACATTCAGATATAAAATATAAAGTCCACTATTTATAGATGTAACACGGTGTGATTTTTACATTTGAAAGACCTTTAATGAGCTGAAAACTTTTATTTTTTCAGCATTATTGTGATATTTATCTCATAATAAAATAAACTTCCCTGTATAAACACTTAGTAAACAGCCAACTACCCTCCCCCCTCAGAGGTTACTACAGTGTAGCAAGAAAAATAAGAAAGCTGATAGAGTTGTCAAGATGGAAGCGTCACTACTTTCCATGTCACATGCATGTTTTGATTTTTGCCTCTTTTTATAACTATTTTTTTCCTTAAATAAGAGACACCAGAGGACAGGATAGTGTGGGAAAAGAGGAGGGAGATGAGCTCTGCCAACCTCTTTATAGCCTTTTCAAGGCGTCAAACAGAGGAAATAATCTTATCTCTGTCAGGAAAGAAACTTGTGTCAGTTCAGGCTGGTGCAGCGATAGGCAGGAAACTGTTTGAGCTTACGTGTGTTTTTGTGAGTGTGTGTGGAAGTAGCTTGCAGAAGAGTTACTCTGTTTGTAGCCATGGACAGCATTGTGGTGTTTACCTCTTGATGGGAAGAAGTAGGTGTCTGAAAAATGAAAGCTTACAAGGAAACATTGTCCTAAAGCCAGAAAAAAAAAAAAAGTTTTAGGAATAAAAATGTGTAAAGATCAATAGAGCTCCTACAATCTGAAGTTTCAGTGTGTGTTTCATATGCAGTGCTACAGCTTAGCACCAAAGTGTAAAGCAGTGTCTGACTATGGTAGATAACGCTGCTTTGGAGGATACAACCATTTCCTTTCTCTCTGTGGCTGCATCCTGTCATTCGGTGCATCTTTATGCCTTGCTTGTGGTTGTTTTGGTCTGCCTGTGTGTGTTTTTGTGCATGTGCGTGCATCCTTCTGAGCTTTCTGGTGCAGTCCAGATTTACACTGATGGGAACAAGGGAAGACATCTGGATGCAGACATTGACAGCCTCTATTAATAACCCCCTCAACAGGGGCAGAGTGACATCATCACAGGGCAGTTACAGTGATTTGGGCAGGAAGACAAACAGACACGAATAGAATCAAAGAGAAAAGTGCAAAAAGGTGATACTGGAGAAATCCTGCAATGCCTAAACCTAGCTTCTACTCTGTACGTCCTGTTCTTCAAAGACTTGTATTAAGCCTTTCTGTGAAAATAAGCCTTCATACTTCTGTTTTATCTGAAATCAGCATCATAGAGCAAAAGGGCTGAACAGGAAAGACTGTCTGGATTTAATCAGCTCGCTTAGATGACTCATGATTTTATTTCCCATACTAAAATGATAGATATAAACCAGATTCTGTCTAAAAAAAAAATTTTTAAATGAGATAAGCGCTGTGTGGTTTGGTCAGTCAAGCCTGAAAGTTTGATTGACTTTATCTTGACAGTCTTATCATCACATTTCTGCTCCTGGAACTTCCTTGTTTGATCAGTCTATTTGAATTTTTCTGCCTCTTTACCAGATCCGCCACGCTGCTGCTAACGTGCTAAGGGAATGCTGGCTTCTGCATCGCACAAACCTGACAAAGGGCAACCGCGGTGAGCACAGAAGACACCAGAGATGCCTTCTGGAAGCCATCAGAGTGTGAGTTACTGTTTCGCAGAATCATACCTTCAGGCAGGATGTCTGCATATTTGTATCTGGGCGAGGGATTGGGTGGTGGTTTGTGTGCCTTACATGTGTATTTTACGGGTCATTAACTTAGTGTCAACATGCATAACCACAGAGTCACAGCTTGAATGGCTAATTTAGATTAGTAATTAGATTTGTTTTACTCTTTTATGTGGGAAGGGCATGTGTGAACAAGGGCCCACCCTTTTATTATACAGAATTCAAGGCAAAGTTTTTGTTTTACTTTTCAAAGTATGATTTGACAGTAAAACACAACAGAATATACATCCTCTTAGACACACTGCCATTTATATGTTTTTCTATTTGAATTGTATCTTCTTGTTATTGAGCCAAGGCTCCTCCTTCATGAACAAGTGAAATGCATGAGACAGGAAGTCCAGAAGTGTATGGTCATTATCCTTACAACAGGATTATATGTGTGTGTGTGTGTTAGCCTGGGTGGAGGGATTGTACTTCCTGCTTTACACCGGGCAGAAGCACTATAAATACACTGTGGAAAGTACCATCGGGAGGCACCTCCACACCTTGGGGTTAAGAACGGTCTACCTGGATGCTGATTGATCCATATTTCATTTTTTGTTGTAAATGGTAAATTTAGCCATTTCCCCCTTTATACGTCATAACAAAAATAACAAACACACAATGACTCATGCATTTTGAGTAGTGGAATACTGTGTTGTCTGGATATTCCTCCACAAACCAGGGGTTCTGAATTGTCTGTTCTGTTTGCCCGAAAATAGGACAAAGAACTTGTCTTACACTAGGACATGAAAATACTTAAAACTGTTTCCCTTTCTGTTGTCTCAGTGTAACATTTGGAATAATGCAATTAAAATGTGAATATGTGCGAAATACTTCCATGACTGAGATCTATACTGAACCTTTTGTCTGCACAGATTTCGGCATTTACGCCTCAAACAAAGACAACTGAGAGATTACGTAAGCGAGATGGTGGACCTCCCTAAGGTGAGCGACAGCTGTCACTGGAATATTTTGCACATTTCATTGGAAAAGGTTAATGCCAAATAAGATGACAAAGATCCCTCTAAAAACACTCACTACTTACATAGACTATTACGCAGCATTTTACGGTCTGCTGTTTATCACTAGGTGTTCAGACACATTAAATGCTTGTTAAAAAATCTCCATAAACTGTCTCAGGATTCATTTGTGTCAGGAATTCATAGGCCCAGAAAAGTTTTCCATGTGGAATAAAGCCAAGATGTAAAGGCATTACCCAGTGAGAGGCACTAGTGTGTAATTTGTGAATTTTAAAATGCATTTTGTTGATTGATTTATGTGGAAAACAAGCCTGGTTTTTCCAGTCTTCAAGTGTAGCTCCTTGGTAAGATGTAAAAAGTAAGCCACAGCGAGGCCGAGCACAGAGGGCTAAAAAAAGTAACCGAAATTTGTTGCTGTTGGCTTCTTTGCAATTCAGTTGCTAGAAACGCTACCAGAAATTCCATCATGAATACAAAAATCTTTGCATTTGCATTGTGTGGCTGTTTTGACAGATGCAGATGATAATGTGTGACCTGAGTGCCAACTGGAATAACTCCTATCGGGAGCTGGAGCAGCGTATCCTCTCCATGGAGCAGAAGCTGGATGAACTGAGTCGCTGCTTCCAACAAACCTCCGAGCTGCTGTCTCAGGTCCTGCGTCACCGCAACCCAGAGATTAGGTAAACAACACTTAGGACTGCTAGTGATGCTGCGCCAATCTTCTAACGACGCGCTGCAGGATGTGGTATCTACGCTCAATTGATTTTTTTGATTGTTTTTTTGCAGGTGACATGGCTCTATGCATTTTGTTAAGAACGGAGACAGTTGACTGCCTTCAGTGTTTTCATCTACAATATCCATGAAAATGAGACGGTAAATCTTCTCCACCCAGAGCTGCTCCAGACTCTTAACATGCTGAACCACTTGGAGGACTGGCATACCTACTAAAGATCTCATCTTCTGGCCCTGTGCAGAGTGCACTGCACAGTGACTCATAGCAGTAAAATTATACAGATAAAATAAGACTTCCATTCACTGTGGGAGAAGATTCCCTACACATTTTGAGAAATCAGTTGTGATTTCAGCAGTCGTGTTTGTGACAGTGAAAGAACTGAATTAATCTCAAACAAGAACTATGGAGATCATTGTAATCCAAACTGTCAAAGGCTCCAGGAACGCTCTCTCAACTGCTATTTGTAAGGTTTCATTGATGGACTCCGTCGCCGCCTTATTCCTGTGGAATAAGATATATATTTTTACATGCTAATTTTATTTCAAATCTCTTGCAATATTTTTTATCAGTGTTAGCCTAATCAGTTTTTTTACAAACCTCTTGCAAATCCTCTTTTCATTAGCAGACACTTTAATGGTTACCGAGCTGATTGTTGTTTGCATACAGGCTTATTGAATATAATACATTCTCCAATAATTCCTCATTGTTCTGCTTTCCTCCAACCCATCAGGTTAATGGTGAATGAAATTATGTGTTTTGATGCTCCACCAACAGAAGAAACTAAACTTCAGTTATATTATAACCTTTATTTCAAACTGTAAGTCCTTGGGATTTTAATGGATGTCAACTGAAACTCATAGATTAATGTCTACAGTTAAGGTTGTAATCATCTGATGCAGGAAAAGCATCTGACAGTTTACACCTGTTCTCAGAACAATGAAACTTGAGTGTAAGTTGCCTTGTAAGCAGCTCCATCTAGTGGACATGAGTTAAGTAAAGTATGTAATGTTGAGGACAGTTAACATTAAAGTCATAAAGATTATATAACAACCATAAAAAAGTTATATGCTATTTTTAATCTGAATACCAATGTCTCATGGGAGCATAACATTGTAGTGTAGGCTGTTGTGAAAACAAATCTGAAAAACAGAACACAAGAGACCCCAGAAACCCCCCGTACAAACCTCACTGTTAAGAATGCACTTTGTGAGAAAAATAGCAAAACTGGACTAGCTCTTTCTCTGGAGGATAAACTGGAGTTTTATGTGTTTTAACTTAATCCAAATACTGAAAAAAGTTCCTTGTGGGTTCAATTGTACTCCGGTATGTTGTCAAAAGAACTTATTATAACAGTTTACTATGTATCATTTGCACATGGTGAAAACATGTTAACAACCATCCAGGACATGCTTATAATTAAAAGCTATTAAGAAAAAACATGTATGTGATTCTGCTTTGATTTTGTCACTTGGTAACACACAAATTAAACAAAATAGTGACAATCAGATGATGTGTGAAACATCCCTTTTAATTTAACAGTTTGATTTAAATTGTGGTGGACAAAGTTGGAGAAGAGTGGCGAAAACCAGACGTGTTGATCCATTGTCATTTCAAGGGCTTCTTCAATTGTTTAGTTTTTGTCCAGTTTTGAAGTTGGTGCCATATGTAGGCAGAAGGCCTAAAAAATAGTTGTCCACAGTCACATGTAAAGGGCATTTTGCATTTTTTCTTAACTTTACGTCTCCATGGACACCCGGAAGGACGGGACTTTTTCTGTGATTTGCCCTTCATGTGTTCAGCTAAGAGTCTGGCTCCTATGAAAGTCTCCCCACAGCTGACGCAGATGTAGCTTATGGCCTCCGCATGCTGAACACAATGTCGCAGGAGGTGCAGCCGGTGCTTAAAAGCTCGGCCGCACTGGCACTGGTGTGAGCGGCGGCCTCGGTGGAGGTAGCGGTGGCTAATGATGAGGGAGGGCTGCCGCAAGATGGCACCACACTGCCTGCAGGGGTAAGGGACTTTGGAGCGCCAGCCTGTGTTCATACGTTTCATCAAAGCCACATCTTGGCTGTCGTTCTCGAACATGGCCATAATAGTGGGCGAGACGGGGTCAGAGGTCGCAGTTGCTGAAGTTGGGTCGGTGTCAGACTTCAGAATAGTGGACAGTGAGCCTGCACAAGTTTGGTCAACATGCAGCTTCCCGTTACTGACCTGGTTGACTACATCTGGACTACTGACGGTGGACTGGACTGCAGCGCCATGGAAACCTGAACCCTTTTTATCGGTCAATGCTGATGGATTGGTAATAATGCATACTTTGGTGCTGACCACTGATGTGTGGACTCTGGTAACATGGTTTAACAAAGTTTTGTCAGAAGTGAAAAAGGATCTGCATACGTTACATGCTTTTGGCATTGTCTCGGAACAAAAGAAGACCAAAGGTGATTTGCTTTCCTTGGGACACTGGTGGTGATGGTACAAGCTCTCGTGAGAGAAAACCTGGCCACAGATGTCACAGGAATACAAAGGCATATAGTGCTCATTAAGATCAGTCTCAGTTAGAAAGAGCGTCTTGCACAGTGAACACTGATATTTTACCCTTATACCACTACAGTGCAGCAAATGGAGCTTCATTGACCTAAAGGGCCCTCTACCACATGCAGCACATATTGAACTATTAACACTGGGAAGGGCTGCAGGGTTTTGTTTAGAGTGCAGACTATTGGAAGAGTCACTGGAATTATCAGCTGAACTTGAGCCACCATCTGATTCGGCATCATCTGGACGCATGTTTGTAGGTTTACAAAGTGTCTTATCTTCATCATCAGATTCGGAGCTTGTTGAATCATCTAGCTTCTCACAGTCACTTTCCATGTCAATGTCTTTATCATCTTCACCCACTATATATTCTACACTGTTTTCAGATGTCTCAGGTCTCATCTCAATTGCTTGCTGAGGCCTCAACTCTGACATTGAGTCACACGGTACTGAGTTTTTACTTTGCTGTAGAGTCACCTCATCAGAAAAGATGCCAGCGTTCTGACTCTGATGTATGACTGCAGAAATCAAAGAGGGAGCTTCTTTAAAAGGCGCCGAGCCAATGCAATGTATCTCTGCATGCTTGTTCAATTCCCACACATTACTGAAAGATTGATGGCACTTTTTGCAGAGGGGCGGCGAGTGTGCATTATCCAGGTGCGTGGAGAGTGACGTCAGGCGTCGGAAAATAATCTTGCAGATGTGGCAGGTGGCTTTAATATTGTGGCTTTTGTAGTGTGACATCAAGTTTTTTATGTTGCTGAATTTTTTGCCACATTCCCAACATTTTGCCAGTGTGCGTGCATCATCCACCTGCCTTGTTGTAGAGATACACCATTCTTCATCGCTGCTCGAGTCTTCAGACATAAGGAGTCAGTCAAGGCAAACTCTGGATGGTCTGCAATTTAAAGCAGACAGAATCACTTAAAAAATGTCAAGCAAGGTTTCATACATGCATAACAATAGAAGCATTACATCAGACAGCCATTTAATCTAAAAATAAAGATTTCATTGCTAATACGTTTTTTATTCAATTATCAACCAAAAATTCCAGACATTCTCTGAAATATCTCAACAACTACTGGAGTGCTATGAAATTTTGTACAGACAGTCATGGCCCCTGGAGGCTGAATGCTACTGACTTTGTTGATCCCGACTTTCCCTCTAGCGCCCTTATGAGATTCGCTTTTGTAGCTTCGGGTAAAATATGTCAACAACTGTTGCCATTAAACCTGTTACAGACATGCATGCCCCCCTCAGGATGAATTATATCCACTTTGGAAATCCTTTTCATGTTGAGCCATCCTTGGGTCAAAAATTCAATATATCCAGTAATGTCCAACTTTGGTTTTTGTCTGAATACCTGCAAAATCACACTGCCACAGCCTCGGTTGTACTTAGTGTTTGGTGCTAATCAGCATGCTAAATGTTAGCATGCTAACAATGTACCTGCTTAACGATAGCATGTTAACATTTAGCTCAAAGCCCCCTCAGTGCCTAAGTAGATCATAAAAGAGATGCTAGCATGGTTGTAGGCTCTAGAGTCCTGTTCAATCTGTCATTGTTTTTGTCTTATACCATATTTATAACATTTACATTCAATATCTGTGTGATGCAGACAAAGTAAGGTTTTTGAAGACTGGCATATAATCATTAATTGCAGCTCTAGTGAGGTTAACTTTTCGTGTCTTCACGTGCCTCCCTTGACAGCACATACCCAGTATCACTTTTCACTATTTCCTACTTTTAGCTAGTTAACGTTATAGCCCACCATAAACGAAAGCTCTGTCAGAGCCACATCACACGTTACACTTATACATACACAGGGAAACTACTTACCTTTGCCCACAAGTACAGCACTGATACACCGTTGCCTGTGCCACAAAACAACGATGGAATAATTTGATTCCTCCAAGCTAGAAGGTGACGATTCGTCCGAGACATTTACTGTACGTTACTAAAAATACACTAAGAGCTAGCGTTAACGTTTACTTGTATGTACTGACTTGGGTTTTTAGGAGACATAAACGGCCTCTTTTAAAAGATGTGTGTCTGAAGCGCATCCAGCTGTACAGGTGACGATAATACAGGCATGATTCAGCACATTACAACAAGAAAAACCTTTAAAAATTCATATTTAATGACACCGTCATATTGTTGATGGCGTCCACACAGCTAGCCCCTCCACCTCCGGTTAAAGGCGGAAGAGAGACGCCTACATATCCCAGAGTGCATCACTCAAGTTCCATGGCTTTCTTAGGCAGTTTAATATTTCTTTAAACTCCATGAAAACTCTTGGTTGATATATGTGCAGATACTGTAATTTTACTCAGTACACTAATTTGAGAATTATATAACGAGTTCATCCCAAAAAAATCATCCCAGGCTAAAATTTCTTTTTTTGAATAGCACGGGCGGTCTTCAATTATCAATATGGGTTTTCTTTCTTTACTATTTTTTATTTTTTATTTTTTATTTTAAGGCAACCAGGAAACACCATATTCACGCCACCAAACAACGCCCATACTATATACAGTGATTTCTTTAACTTTGCCTTTAAGAAATCTGACATTTCAGGATGCGATTATTTTTAATAAAGGCAAACAAAAAGTAGCGAGGCACGGTTTAACGTTATATATACATCGTCCTATATTCCTTTATACAGTAAAATATATAGTAAAAATACACCGTGTGAAATGGTCCCTGGAACTACCCACATCATTACGATGTTTCATAACGACTCCATTTACCAGACGAGCGAGATGTGTTTGATTTTAAACTAATGGAATTTTAGGCGGGTGGAGTTTCTTCCAGGACGATGATATTTGAGAACCGCTCCAACATCATATTGTAACGGTTTGCGTCGAGCTACCAAACAAGCGCACTGGCGGAAGGCTTTAGCAAACGTTATTTACGTCCACAGACAAGTGCTTGAGGTTGAACTAAAACGATGTTACGATTAAAAGTCTTTAAATTTCAAGGAGAGTAATGGTCATAGGACTGCTAGTTGAGAACAGATTTCTCGTTTCGGGGATATTTCAGTAAAAGTAAAAATACCTTTAGCTCGTCTCTGCTCGGACTGTGGTTCCATCGTTTCTAGCTCTGTGTTGATATCCGTTGTGCTGTTTTAAGTCAGTAAATCAAGCGAGTAGGGAGATGTCAGAGTCTGGCCACAGTCAGCCCGGGATGTACGGGCAGGGACGCAGGAGGAGGAGACGCCGGGGAGACAGAGATGCGGGACCTCCTGGGCAAAATCTGTCTGGTCCCAGCCGGGATCGAGAATACCAGCCGAGGGAACGAAGGGTAATACAAGCTCACACTTATGAAGTCTGGATTGTTTAAACTGCTGGCGTAACTGAAAACTGACTCGCTTTCATGTGTCTGTTTAGGATGGGAGCGAGGATCCACCAGGCCCACTCATTCAGAAGACCCCCATCATTCTTGCAAAACCCCCCGGGGAAAGGGTACTTTGGCTTGTGTCAAATTCTGAGCTCTTTTTTTTTTAATTCTCTGTATTGAACACAAACAATAAAGACATTTGAACATTTAGATTCGACAGATGCTTATACCTAAGGCGATGTAAGGCACAATTCTCTCCATAGTTCAGCACTACATTCACAATGCCATAACAAATGAGTCACGGTTAATCATTACAGAAAGTAGTCTTTAAGCTCCTCTACCTCTCTGCTCAGGCATCTATTGAATTGTGCTTTTAAATGGATCCTTTTCTAGGCCAAGCCATCACAGAATGCACCTGTCAGTGGAGCTCCAGTCTTGGAGAAGCCCATCATGCTAATGAAAGCAAGGGATGATGGAGGGAAGCCAGGGACTCCTCCAGAGGCAGCAGCTCAGCCCTCTGGCCCTGGACCCTCAAAGATTGAGAGGGAAGGGCAGCGACCTACCCAGCCTGTGTACCAGATCCAAAACCGAGGAATGGGTGCTTCTGCATCGAGCAGCGCTGTAGACCGTGAGTTATTGTACTAACTAATTGTATTGTAAATTACAAATGTTAGTGTGATGTTAACAAATACTCCATTTGGATGCCCTCATTACGTATTACATATCCAGAATTGTTTCATGTGACTTCCAGCTATGGTTGGCCAAGCTAAACTCCTCCCTCCAGAGAAGATGAAGCACAGCATTAAACTGGTGGACGATCAGATGAACTGGTGTGACAGTGCCATGGAGGTGAGTTAATGTTCGATGAATTTAGTTGATTGGTGAGCCATTGTATTAAATAACTGAAAAATGTTTTCAATATACTGTGCTGTTTTTACTCAAAGGAAGTTGCTTTTTTGTTGTGATGTGTTGCAGTACCTGAGGGACCAGACAGATATGTTGGTGGTGGGAGTCATTGGCCTTCAGGGAACTGGGAAATCCACAATCATGTCACTGTTATCTGCCAACACCCCTGAGGAAGATCAAAGGTAAGACTGTATGAAACACCAACAATACCCTCAGGCTTGTAAACTGCTCAGCTATGTGTAAATTATATATTGATTTCATTTAATAATAAAAGTAATAAAAACATCTAATTTTAAACTTGTCAAAAGCGTAATAAGAAGTAAAATAATAGTCAGAGAAAAGCAGTGGATAAAAGATGTCACAGTTAAAAGATGCTGATGAGGATTAGGCTTTCCCATAATGACAGAAAATGTCCCATAGTATGCAAGAGGAATTCGACAACAATAAAATAATGTGTTCCTGAGTTCAATTTACTAAATGAAGACTGAAGAAACCAGTTAAGACTAAACCCAGAAGGACTGAAATTTTAGTTTTGTAAAAATCTTCCAGTAAAAGTTACTGTTCAACTTGCAGTATTGATTTGAGCGAAACTAAAGCTTTGTTAAACCAGTGACAACACCAGAAAAATAAATAATCTCAACCTCAAATAGTTAAGTGCTTTGATTAAGGCTAGAACAGTCTACTAAAAAACAGAATATAATAGAAAAGCTGAATATAGTAGACACATGTAATTATAATGAGTTTTTGTCAGGGCTACATACCGAAACATCTCATCTGTTATTATAGATTATTATAGAAAGGAATATATGTGCAGGACTTAATACAATCATTTGCTTAAGATGAAGAGAGTGAACTGTCAGCCCCAGTTTGTCTTTCTGTTCATCATATTGCTCAGCTGGAATAGAGGTAGTTTTGCAAAAGCAGCTTACCCATTCAAAGTTGAAATAACACAAACAGATTACACAAATCAATAGTAAATATTTATCTGTTTTTTTCTTCCCATCAACATTTTGTATTTTAAAGTTGCACACTGAAAGAGACATAACTCTTTCTGGCCACACAGAGGCACTATAGTAAACTCAGCTGCTTCTGTGTAGTCTGGTGCCGTGTTTCAGATGAACATATGTTATTTTGTTTTATCACAAAAGCCAGCTCAGTGTGTGACACTGAGGACATGATGTGTCCTTTGTTTGGAATAAGCATCCGCATTTTTTTGCACAGAGGTTATGTATTCAGAGCCCAGACTCAAGAAATCAAAGAAAGAGGAGGAAACCAGAGCACAGGGATTGATTTCTTCATCACACAGGAGAGAGTCATCTTCCTGGATACACAGGTACATAAGAATGAAGTGTTGTGGATACAGAGTCAGTGTCTCTTTTCTGTAGTATCTTCAATTTGCTGTCAGAATGTAGGGAAGTAATGAACTGTGAAATTTAAATGTCACCGTGGAATAGAGAGAAATCAGGATAGTTGGTTGGTTGGGGATTGAATCAACATGTGTGTAAATGCCTCTTCCTTGTTTGTTTCTTCAGCCGATCCTCAGCCCATCTATTCTGGACCACCTCATCAACAACGACCGGAAGCTGCCTCCAGAGTACAACCTCCCTCATACGTACATTGAGATGCAGGTCAGTGACCGGCCTGCAGAGGGCACTAGTTGTTTATATTTGCCCTGGTGCATAACCTGTAAGGACCAATATGTACCTGTAGTCCTCCAATTCACTGTTTAATGACAGTTTAGTGGTCATTTTAATTCTGTACACACACATTCACATGTAGCCACATTAGTCCTCTCTCTTTATAATCTTTCACCAGTCTCTTCAGATCGCTGCCTTCCTGTTTACTGTGTGCCATGTCATCATTGTCGTTCAAGACTGGTTCACTGACTTAAACCTCTACAGGTATGTACTTGTTTATGTGTGATAGATCTGTATAATACTCACTACCCAGCTTTGCAGGAAAAAAGGAGAGGATAGCTCTCAGTAAGGCTCTGCCAATAACTTTCAAGTCCCCTGCTCCCACAGGAATGTTGAGTATTTCATCTTGTATCTTGAGAGGATATTTGTCTTCTGGTCTTTCTTATGAGCTCAGTAATGTTATTCTTTCAGTTGGTCTTGTCAACAGTGAAGCCAGACCTGTTGAAAATCACTGCCTATGTGCTGACACACACTCATCTTGTCCATGTACACCAGTATCTGCTCAGAATACCCACACTAACCCAAATTACTCTGTAGCTAAAAAAGATATTGGTAATTAGCTTAGTTGTTTCTAGGAAGTAGATTGCACTAGAAATACACGGACATCAAATGTAACTACTTACATGTCTTGGAAAGTGTAGAAATTAAAAAGTGTAGCAAAAAAGGATAGGTGCACATTTTTCAAGTATGTCTTAACACAATATTGATAGTATGCTGAGTGCTGGAAGAACAAGTAAAGTGACCAATAATGCTTTCTATGTACATACATATGGGCATGTGTGTATTATTTTGAGACAGACTTGAAAAACTGTGAATTAACCATTTAATAGTTGAAGAATAATCTGGAAAGAATAAGAAAATTTAATTCCCTATGCACCAAGCATGACCGTTGTACTCATACTCATACAAAATCTCATCATTCATTAAACAAAATGACTTTGTAGAAAATACATGTTGTCATACTTTCTCTCATATGGATCCAAATGATGAAAGAGACCAGATGTTGGCAGGGTGGGGTGAGATGACATATATACATACATACATATACAGTACTATAAAAGAGGGTTTTATCCATATCGTCCATTCCCAGATGTTGGCCAATATCACATAGCTAATGTAGACAGAGCTAGTTGGAATTAAGCAATTGTTAAAGGCACTGTGTTTTATTTTGTTTTGTTTTTTTCATTGTTGCACACCAAAATACATTGGGCCTCACCAACCATTCTTAAGAAGAAATTCCTTCTTAAAACCCACTTACACACCTTTTACAAAGATTCTGCCATTCACCAATGTTTTCTTAGTTGGGATTTGATTTTAGGTAAGAACAGTATCTACACACACTCAAGAGCTCTCTTACGCACATTTGAGTGCTGACATGTTTGAATAAAATAAGAGGTTATTGCGTTTTCTTCGGTTTAGATTTTCATATCCCTTTTTTGACTTCTGTCTGTGTCTGCACACGACCCTTCAGTCTCATGCCCTTTTAAGGGCATTTTGTGGTGTTCACCTGTGCTAATTGGGGCCAACTGGCACACGCTTTCAATTTATGAGGAGATTGGCATTCATCAATCTAAGAACACAGATGCACACAATTCTGCAGTTTAAAAACACGTTCATGAATCTGACGTAGAGTTTTCTTAAGAACTTTCTTAAGAACAACTTAAGAAAGAATTTAAGAAAATACTTAAAGAAGATATTGGAGAATGAGGCCCATTGTTTGTATCCTAAAGGGTTGAATGCTTGTCCTTAATCATTTGCAAACCTGACTTTTGTGAGTATTTAAAATCCTGCTTCTTTTTTTTTTTACATCAATGTTAATGAGCTTACAGTCTTCCCAGTGTTTTGTTGACACATTGCCACGCGTCAGTGTGTGTTACACTTGTAGGTCAGCGGAATCATGTGAAATCAGTGGCTGGAGTGTGTATGGCATCACCCTCATTCCCCTACACATGCATGTGTTAATACACGGCTATTTTCGGTCTGAATCCACGCAAACTAAACGGGACCCGCTCATAGAAATGTTGCTCCACTGCACTATTAGTGGTCATAAACGCCTACCGGTAACTATCTGTAGATGTATGTTTATGTAGGAATATAGTAATAGGCTGCCAGAAAATACACATAGATTTATCCTGTGATCATAGCATTACTATGCACTGTGAGGAAAGTTAACTGAGCAGATTTTGCTGAACTTAATTACAAAATGTCAAACATGTACTGTAGATATTCTAATGTTTTACTGTTAATTATGTTGTGTTGTTATCATTGGACCGAGCCTATCAACAGCTGCCAAGGGGATTAGTTAGTCACTTCCCTAACCGATTATACTGTATTCCCACAGTTGCAATCAAACTGAATTGCACTGCAGTTACCCTTGCAGCTGTTGCTTCTGGTTTGAGAAAAATTTGCATGTTATGTTTTTGGGAAGGTTTCTTCAGACTGCTGAGATGCTGAAACCTTCCACTCCGTCCGCAAGCCATGACAGCACTGGCTCTTCAGGAAATGATGATGGAGCAGAGTACTATCCTCATATAGGTGACTTTGTTAAACAGAAATGCAAACACAATCTCACGCACCAGCCAGGTTTAATAACATTAACATGAAAGTCTCTCTTCTTTAAACTTTTCTTTTTCACCCAGTGTTCCTCCAGAATAAAGCCAAACGGGATGATTTCTGCCCAAGGAATCTGAAGAACATGCATATGGTGGTGGACAAATTAATGGCCCACTCTCATCTCAAATACAAAGGTGCAAAACTATAAGAGTATTCTCCCCATATTAAATATATTCCATTCACATTATAGTTGTTTTTTTTAAAAAAGTCAAATCATATTAAATATTATTAACTAAATACATAAATAGCCCAAATTGCTTAAACAAATATACAACACCTCCACTCATTCCATAATACCTGGTTTGTATTTTAGGTACATTGTCCATGCTAGACTCCAATATCTTCCCTGGCCTGGGACAGGACTATCTGTCACCTGAGGTCAACATGTTCCTACTTCCTGTGCAGGACAATGACGGCGAGGATAATCTGACCAAAGCAGGTTACAAAGCATTTTTCTTCACATAAGGCAAAACTCAGTATACAGTATCTAACCCAACTACCTATAAAGTAAGCATTTGCCTGGATAAGTGATGTGTATCATGTTGACATATCATTTATACATCTTGAAAGTAGAATTAAAGGCTTTTTGACAAATCTTTACTTCCCTTTTCAGGGACTAAAGCAAGGTATTGTGCTTGTGTAAGGTGTGAATTGATCATGGTACCATGTTTAGGGTCGGGAACATACCCGCTCTTCTCCCTGCTGCCGGGGTACAGAGGACACCCTTCCTTCTCCACCATGGTTTCAAAACTTCGCAGCCAAATACTGACCATGCCCCGCTGTCAGCTGTCACACACCATCCTCACTGAAAAGAACTGGTAAACATCACATTCTGCTTTGCACACCTTCCATTTAACTTCATTCTTGTGTCATTAATTTATAACATAGTTTTACAGAACAACATAGAACAGCCAAACATGACAATAAAAATGTTATAACAACATGGACATCATTTTCACTTGGGATTGGGAATGCATGCCAGAGTAGTGTATCAAGCTTTGCTTTGCAAACTTTTGCAAACCCACAGCAACTAACTTCCTGTGGATTTGCCTCACTTTATTTGGTGTTGGAGCTATACGCATCTTTAAAATGAACACCTGCAAGACAGTGTTCAGAGCTTGAAAAGTACCTCCATCTCCTGTGCATGTTTTCCAGATAAAAATCATTTAAAAGCGGATTCAATAAAGGACACAAATGAAAATCGAATTATACCGACTGAAATAAGAAACTGGTCATGAATTCAGGTACAAGCTAGTCTTTATAGCAAAAAGCACAATTAAACTTTTACTTTTCAAAGTGTGCTACATGTAACCACACTTGTATTTAGGAGTTGCACACCCTTATGGGGAGTTAAGAGTCTCTTAATTCTGCCAGTTGGGAGGTTTTAGCGGTAGGATGTTTTGTGTACACAGCCCCTGGTCTCTCTCTATACATTTGATCTGTTTTTACAGGTTCCATTATGCAGCTCGTATCTGGGATGGGGTGAAAAAGTCCTCAGCACTCTCGGAATACAGTCGCCTGCTCTGCTAACACCCTGGTTGAACTGCTGTTATACACATTACCGGCGCAACCTCTTACGTCCAGTTATCAGGTCACACGAGGAGAATTGTGGCCCCGAAAGTGGAGACTGTTGTTTGCATCCTACAGGAAAGGAGGAGTGAAACGGGAAGCTCGGTCAGTGTTGAAGAGTCGAAGGGTGACACCACCTTCTATTCACTTTGGAGGGATTTAAAATAAAACCTGCAGACTCTTGCCCATACCCTGTCCCTGTCCTCAGGGTATTTAATGTTCAGCGGTGATGAGAGATGAAGTTGTCTGCACATGTCTAAGTAAGATATGATGACATTTTTATTTGCAAGTAATTTGTTGTAACACCAGATTTGATGTACTGATGCACATGTTTTCAGAGGTGAAAATGTAGCCCTCTGTAACTTATTTTGCATTTTCTTTAACATCACTGAAAAGAGGAGTGTAAACCACACAGAAATAAAAGGGAAGTGCTGTGATTCTTTAAACTGCACAGTGCATTCACTGCACAGCTTTGTGGTAGTCTTCATTTCTTGAAAAAGAGCACAAATGACTCCCTCACTCTGTGCTTAATCCAGTTTGACAGGTTGACTTTGTAATGGCACAAACTGAGAAATTAAACTTAACTGTTGGTGTTCATTGGACAAACCCAGTTCACAATGGCAAACGATTAGAAAACCTGTGTTGGGTACAGAGCAGTTTTTTTTGTATTAAGTATTAAGACATGTCAAATGTGTCTGTGTTTAGATTGAGCATTTTAGAGGATTGTTGGAACGCCATTTGGTCAGTTGGGATTATATTATCTGAATATTAAAGTGTCAACAGACTGAAAGAGGTATATACTGTACATATATACTGTACGCAGTATCTTACACAGGTATAGTCTAGACCTGATTTGGCACTATGTGAAGAAAAACTGACTTTACTTGATGTGATTAGAGCATTTATAATTTACATGTTGGAGGTACAATTAAAGGCATTTTGACTGCCTTTGGCAGGGACTAAACTCATGTCAATCCTTGGTCATGTGGTCCTGCTCAAAGGCAAGTTTGTGAACTTGTCTCTTAGTTCTAAGGGTTCTGTGCCTCTTTTTAGCAGGTTTATGTCGCATTAACTCAACTAATTACATTTCTAAATGTTCCAAGTGGCTCTAAAATATTGACACACAACCCCTGTAAGGACTTTTAACAATGGTAAATACAAAGATCAATCATGGTGTCAATGCTTTCAAATATAGGATATATATAAATGCAGCAGGAAATACACTGCAACCATATTATTGTAGTAAGTACCTTTCATGCCTAGAAAAAGAGCCCATGTGTTTAAACCAGTTTGACTTTGTAATGGCACATACTGAGAAATGAAACTTAAATGTTGGTGTTCATTGCAGAAACCCTTATCACCTGGCAAACTGACAGAAAAACTGTGTTGGGTTCAGAAATATTAAGATATGTCAAATGTTTCAATACTGAAACGTTCTGCTGAATTCAGCATATTATTGGATTATTGGAGCACCATTTGGTCTGATGGGACAATATATTATCTTAAATTTGGGGAAAATTGCGATGGAGATTACAACCTGATATAAAAAAGTGGTTTGATTAGACACAAGAGGGTTTGTTTCTTCTTTTATCTGCTGATGGACAAGGTATGAAGGTATCAAGTGAAGCTTGAAATCTTGCTGCCTTGAATGAGAAGCCACATGTTTCCCTTTTAATATGAAAAGTTAATCCCTTTGTTCTCAGCCCATGACAAACCTTTTTACTTAATTAGTGCAAATTCATTACAACATTTTCAAATATCCAACTACTGTAAATACCCAACAGACTGAAAGAGGTCTATACTGTATACTGTACACAGTGTCTTACAGTCTAGATCTGTTGTCTATGAAAAGTGACTCGACTGTATATAATTTACGTCAGTAGAATTAAATGCTTTTTGACTGTCAAATTTTAGCTGCCTATCTCTTAGTTCTAAGGGTGAACTCGACTGATTACATTTCTAAATGTTCCAAGTGGCTCCGTACTATTGGCACATAACCCCTGCAAGGACTCAAGACATTTCACAATGCTAAATACAAAGAACAATCAGCTCCACTGTTGACAGACTCATAAATCCACCATCCACCATCCCATCACATTTGCTGTCTACAGAAAACTGTGAGCAATTTGCTTTATTTTTTGATAGCAAAGTTAACACAATCAGACAAAACATCAGTGCCCTCAGACCAAAAAATGACCCTCTCCATCCTCTCTCCAGGGGCTCCAGTTGTTTTATGTCTCAGTTTGACCGCTTAGATCCTACAGATCTCTCTAATATTGTTGGTCAGCTCAGGTCCTCCACCTGTTGCTTGGATCCTATTCCAACAACATTTTTTAAAACCGTCTTCAATTGTTTAGCACCCGAAGTTTTAAAAATCATAAACTGGTCTCTTCAGTTTGGGATTTTCCCCACATAACTTAAAACAGGCGTCATAAAACCACTCCTGAAGAAAAAGAATTTGGATCCAAATGATATAGCAAACTATCGGCCCATCTCCAATCTGCCATTTCTTAGTAAAATACTTGAAAAAACTGTTTACATTCAACTCAAAAAATATCTCACATCAAATAGCCTCCTAGATATTTATCAATCAGGTTTTCGTCCCCACCATAGTACAGAAACAGCTCTCATTAAAGTAATAAACGACCTGCATATAAACACAGACTCCAAAAAAATATCCATTCTTGTTTTACTTGATCTCAGTGCTGCCTTTGATACGGTTGACCATAAAATTCTGCTAGAGAGACTCGAGAAATGGGTGGGCTTATCTGGTCCTGTTCTTAAATGGTTCAATTCATACTTACATGACAGGAAGTCGTATGTTTCCATCGGCGACTTCTCTTCCAAAAAAAAGGACGTCACATGTGGGGTTCCCCAGGGGTCAATTCTTGGACCATTACTGTTCAACCTGTATATGCTTCCACTTTCACATATCATCACTAACCATAATGTTAATTACCACAACTATGCAGACGATTCGCAACTCTACATTTCTCTATACCATGATGACTTATCTCCCATACAGTCCCTCACCCAATGTATAAGTGACATTAACAAATGGATGACTGAAAACTTCCTGCAGTTAAATAAAGACAAAACAGAAATACTAATCTTTGGTGCACAGACTCAAAGACTGAGAGTGGCTGAACACCTCAAGTCCCTCTCCCTGGAGAGTAAAACTGTTGCAAAAAATCTTGGCATAATCATAGATAGCAATTTAAACTTCAGGAGTCATATTAACCACATCACAAGATCATCTTTCTACCACCTAAAAAATATATCTAAGTTAAGAAGTTTTCTATCAAAACCTGACTCTGAAAAATTAATTCATGCATTCATAACTAGCAGATTAGATTACTGTAATGGCCTATTCACTGGCCTCGCAAACACAAGCATTCGACAATTACAACTAATTCAAAATGCAGCAGCATGTATTCTCACTGGTACAAAAAAATATCAACACATCACACCCGTTCTTAAAACCCTGCACTGGTTACCCGTCAAAAAAAGAATAGATTTCAAAGTCCTCCTGTTAGTTTATAAAGCACTAAATGGTCTTGCACCTCAGTACCTAACAGACATGCTAATTACCTACATACCAGTAAGACCCCTCAGGTCCACAAACACTAGTACACTAGTCATTCCCCGCACCAAAACTCAGGAAGGGGAGGCTGCATTTTCTGTTTATGCCCCACACAGGTGGAACAGTTTGCCTGAGGCAGTAAAGACTGCCCCGTCAGTCAATCTTTTTAAAAATAGGTTAAAAACTTTTCTCCTCTTAACAGCGTTTGATTGAACGTGTGTGCGTGTGTGTGTGTGCGCTTGTCTACTCTGTGCTATTTGTATTGTTTGTTATTGTTTTGTTGTATGCTGTAAAGCGCATTGTGTCTGCCTTGTGCATGAAATGCGCTCTATAAATAAAGTTAAACAAACATACATATGTATTTGCTGTATATTTATGTATGTATGTTTTGAACTGTGTCTGTGTTGTAGCAAAATATAGTAAAATATATTAAAAATGATAAAACACTGAAAAAAAGAAGAAAAGAAAATCCCATTTTGTCATCAAAATGGAAGAGAAGTGGAGGAGTGCTCTTCATCACTGAACCACTCCTTCTCAGGGGAGCGATATATAGCCAACAGGTCAAAATAGAAGTCAGTTGTATCCCACTCTGACAAAATGCATCTCCTCCTGATCTTTGGGCTTGTGCTTCTCCCTAAAGGCAAGTTTTTATTCTATTATCTGTTTTTTTAATGTTAAATCTTTAAGAAAAGAAGTACCTTATTTTTTAGTTAACATATTTGCCTTTACAAATGCTGAAAAAACATGAGTCATTTCAGGTTACATGCCAAATGGCAGTATGTCCTCTACCTATTTGTTATTTTGCTGTTGGTGATCTTTATTTATCCCTGCTATTTCTTTTTGTTCCTAGTCTGTAGTTGAACAGATAAAATGTGCTCTTTTCTAGTCCATCTTCCTGTCTTCCTGTCTGTCCGTCCATCCGTCCGTCCGTCCGTCCGTCCGTCTGTCCGTCTGTCCGTCTGTCTGTCTGTCTGTCTTAAAAAATGTCAGGTCAAAACTACTTTTGGAACCTGCTTTTGGTTGCTGATTTTATAATTTTGATCAATCAAAATAGTTAGAATTTCTTCATCCACCCCTTGTTGACATTCTTTTCAAACTTATCTGAGTTTTGTATTTCATCAGCCTACACTCTGAAATGTTATGAGTGTGTGTCGGGGGACTCAGGATCCTGCACAGAAAAGGTATGCCCATCACAGGGTCAACAGTGTGGCGCTCTAAGATTCCTTTCATATACAGGTATGGTCATTTTTTTTCAGTGCATTGTTCCCATTGTAAAATTGCTTTGCATTGGCCCAGTTTACAGTGGTTTCTCTTTTGTTGCAGGTAGTTTAAAAGTTAGTGATATCAACGTGAAAACTTGTGCTTTGGCCGAACAGTGTGTTGGGGGATCACTCAACATTGGAATCAGCAGAACGATAATTACCAGCAAGTGTTGCACCTCTGATCTCTGCAACATTCAACCTGCCCCAGGTAACTTACTTACTACGATAGTCCAATATGATTAGATATTAGATATTATGATTATATTGAATATTAGATGTTAGAGAAACAAATCTCAAATTCCAAGACAAGCCAATACAAGGAAAATTACTTTATCTTCCATCGGAATCTAATATAGAAGAGCCCAAGGGTGTGTGTGTGTGTGTGTGTGTGTGTGTGTGTGTGTGTGTGTGTGTGTGTGTGTGTGTGTTCTCTTTTCATTATCACATACTGTAAAATCAAACAATTCCTGTATTTCAGAAATATTAAATTATAATCAGACAATGAACAATCAAATAACACAGATTACATATTTACATTTTGTTTATCTGTGAGTTTAATAGCTGTTATTTCACTAGCAGTGAAACACCAACAAATCCGTCAGTAAAACTCTAAATAAGGCACAGAAGAAGAAAAGTGCATTACAATCATCCCACTATCCCCCTCTACCTCCCCACGCAATATGAACAATTTATGTTCTGTGTTACAGATGCCAGCAAATCCATCCCCAATGGTAGAAAGTGCTTCAGTTGTGATGGACAACAGTGCAATGCAACTCTGAAGTGCAAGGGGAATGAGGACCACTGTATCTCCACAACAGGTAACAGGCCCACAGCATTAAGTCTCTAACTCTGTCCCAAACATTTGCTCTGCTGATGAATGTGTAGTGATTCTAGTAGATGTATTAAAACTTGAGGCACACACACACTAAGACTATTTCCATTCTCTCAGTGACTTCCGGAAGAGAAAAGATGATCGTGAAGGGCTGTGCTTCCAGCCAGATGTGCGCAAGCAAGCAAACTGCACGGATCACAGGATCCACTGGAGAAGAAATTGACTGCTGTCAGGGCGACTACTGCAACAGCGCCAGCGGCACAAGCGCTGGCCTTCTGCTCCTGGTGGCACCGCTGATCTCTTTGGTCAAGTTCTCTTAACTGACTGATACAAATATATTACTGCTCAGTTTTTAATTCTCATCCTCGCTTGGCTTCATAGTCATCTCCTTATGAGTGAGATAGTTTAAAGGTTAGCAAGCAAAGTGTGAAAATATCATTTGGTAAAGTTGTGATTATGATTTATCATTCTGAATGCTATGTTTAACCCAAATCCTATTTTACTGACAGAAAACTAGAATATTCAGATGTTATTATTAGAAAGCAAAATAAATACATTTCCATCTGAATTGTCTCTTTTGTGCATCAACTTTTATGTACTTGCTCACTCCACCTGCTGTGGACTCTATCTGGGTGCCCAGTCATCATTATGCCAAACTGCTGCACATAGACACATTGTTTCTGGAGTTCAGGTGTTTGCCATCTTGAATGCTTTACAATGGTAACTCCTTTCTTCTCAGTGGTAGATATAAAAAAAAAAATACAGAACACATTACATATTGAAAATGATTTACTAGTACCTCTGATAAAATAAGCAGAGCATTGTCACATCATTAAAAATGATTTACTGACATATTTGATAAAACAATCACAACACTCAAGCTTGATTAAGACATACCTGTTGGATTAAAAATATTTCCCACATCTGTTTTGGGCTGCATCAAGGTCATGGAGACCCAGGCCGGATTCAGGCCTACAGTCTGTATTTGCTGATTCCAGACCCTGATTTGAGGGTGAAGGCTGCCCTGATGTTTTGTGAAGAGTTTTACAGTTTTTAATGTGTCAGAGATTAAGCACTTAAGACATACAGAGCACCTATTTGAATCAAATATTGAGATATTCGTTTTGTTTTGAATCTGTCTGTTGTATGGGGAAAATTTACACTGACATGAAAATGATAAGATATATGTAAAATTGTTAGTATAGTGCATATGCATAGTTTTGGTTAAAAAAAAAAAAAATATGACTGTGGCAGGAAATCTTGTGGGGAAAAAACTAGACATGATATACAGTGCATCCGGAAAGTATTCACACCCCTTCACTTCCCCCACATTTTATTATGTTACAGCCTTATTCCAAAATGGATTAAATTCCATTTTTTTCTCATCAATCTACACACAATACCCCATAATGACAAAACGAAAAAGGTTTTTTAGAAATTTTTGCAAATTTATTAAAAATAAAAAAACTGAAATATTGCACATACATAAGTATTCACACCCTTTACTCAGTACTTTGTTGAGGCATCCTTGGCAGTGATTCCAGCCTCAAGTCTTCTTGGGTATGAAGCTACAAGCTTGGCACACCTATTTCTCCCATTCTTCTCTGTAGATCCTCTCAAGCTCTGTCAGGTTAGATGGGGAGCGTCGCTGCACAGCTATTTTCAGGTCTTTCCAGAGATGTTCAATCAGGTTCAAGTCTGGGCTCTGGCTGGGCCACTCAAGGACATTCACACACTTGTCCCGAAGCCACTCCTTTGTTGTCTTGGCTGTGTGCTTAGGGTCGTTGTCCTGTTGGAAGGTAAACCTTCGCCCCAGTCTGAGGTCCTGAGTGCTCTGGAGCAGGTTTTCATCAAGGATCTCTCTGTACTTTGCTTCGTTCATCTTTCCCTCGGTCCTGATGGTATTAGCAGGGTGATGAGAGGTGCCTGGTTTCCTCCAGACGTGACGCTTGGCATTCAGGCCAAAGAGTTCAATCTTGGTTTTATCAGACCAGAGAATCTTGTTTCTCATGGTCTGAGAGTCCTTTAGGTGCCTTCTGGCCACCTCCACGCAGGCTGTCATGTGCCTTTTACTGAGTAGAGGCTTCCGTCTGGCCACTCTACATACACTCTCTCCCAATCAATTGAATTTACTACAGGTGGACTCCAATCAAGTTGTAGCAACATCTCAAGGATGATCAGTGGAAACAGGATGCACCTGAGCTCACTTTTGAGTGTCATAGCAAAGGGTGTGAATATTTATGTACATGCGATATTTCAGTTTTTTATTTTTAATAAATTTGCAAGAATTTCTAAAAAACCTTTTTTGCTTTGTCATTATGGGGTATGTGAATACTTTCCGGATGCACTGTACATATAAGAGAGGTCACTTAATTGGGCACCAGGAAAAAAAGCATAGAAAAATAATGAATGTATATGGAAAAGAGGACTTGTGTCTGGGGTTTCTTTGAATGCAGCTGAATACAAGAGAGCTGTTTATTACAGACAATTTAAAGACAAAGTATGATATTGATATAAAATGTAGTAAAAATTGTCAAATTAAATATGTTAAATGTTAAAGGGAAGTTTGACATTTCTAGATGCCCCTCCCTTTGAGAACACTCATGTGATTACTTCATGTTTTAATTTAAAGTATGTATGTTTTGTTTTTGGTAGTGGACCTACAGACAGATGACAAATTAAAGGAAAAACCAACATAAAGTGTCTCAGTAAGGTGTTGGGCCACCACATGCTGCCAGAACAACTTCAGTGCACATGGCATTGATTCTACAAGTCTCCAAACTCCACTGGAGGGATGATCATCATTCTTCCAAAAGACATTCCCTCATTTTGCGTTTTAATGATGGAGAGCGCCGTCTTAACACTCACAATGAAAACTCACAATTGACAACAGGAATGAAAGATTTTTCTTAAGAAGACACTCTTCTACTTCGAGACCTAAAGTCACCCCTCATAACATGATGGTATGTGTGAAAATACATTTCAGAAAAGGTGACAGAAGAGCATATTCATCATAATGTTTATTTAAAAGATGGGTAAATTCAGTAAAGTGGCAGCTAAATGTCATTATACATTCTTTAAATGAAGTTTAAATGCAAGCGCAAACATACAAAAACACAGGTACTGTACAGCATTCGTATTAATCTAAAATAACAAAAGCAACATTGTCCTGTAAGCATGTGATATTTCCTTGATGTCATGAAGAACTCAAAAGTTGCCAAACATTTGGAAATCCTGCAACAAATTAGAGGAAAACTGGAATCAATTACAATCTGAACACAGAGTAATGGAGATAGTCATGTAACTGCAGTGTATTCAGCAGACATGTGGTCCTTCAAACACACAACATGATTACTTATGTTCTATTAACCTGGTTTAAAGTAAATCTAGTTGCATTTGGCATCAACTGTGGCTGTAAAATTATTATTTTTTGTTTTCATAAAATACTTTTTTTTATCACAGAAACATCATTCATGATTGAATTACTTATCAGTTTTAGTCTGTGTACTTACTGTTGGGCCTGTGTGATGTAGTTGAGGAACACTTACAAATAGCCCACACTGAGGTCTGCAGTGTTGCCTTGGTGTCTGCAAGGGTAATAAATATTTTATCTATATTATTTGATATTTTCAGTGGATGTCTTGTGTGTCATTCTGTGCTGCAATTGATTCATACAACAGAAGATTTAAAATGGTACCTTGAAAACCTGCTCCAGAAAGACTTCCTGTGAGAATAAAGCCAATTAAAATATTAAAGTGATAGTGAAATGGTAAAATCTAAAGCCAAGAGAACTGAACGACACATACCTGGGTTTCCCTTCACTGTGCCAACCGACACGCACATCCTCTTCTCTTCTGAAAAGGGTATGAATGTAAACTTCATGCGTATCAGTTGGGGATTAAAAGTGAATGCTTGCTTTTGTTTTTAGGCATAAGGTGCTGTAAGGTGTTGTAAAGTGTTCTTACCTGGAAAATCGGGTCCAAATGGACCTCCTGTATATGGAAAGCGCAGTGTTACTATTTGTCAGTATGGGTCTACTTTATTTGTGCAGTTCGTAAAAGAAGCAGTCTGCTGACATACCGTTTTTCTGGTCTCGGAGGTCTCTCCCTGTCCTCGGGGTATCTCCTGGACATTTTGATGAGGAAAAATTACTTTAAGCAAGATGGAGTAAAAAGGCTGTGCACAGATTTTCAGCTTAGTAATTTTTATTTCACATGAGTCCATTTTGAATTTTGAATTAACCTTACCTGGATAATCTATCCCATAGTGATCTCCTGTGGAAGTGTGAATTGCAGAGACAGAGATTTGATCATCGAGGAAGATGATAGACATACATTTTCCTCCTCCTTATGTGCTATTTTTGCTACTGTTGATTTAACTAATGTTTTGTTTCATGTTCATTTATATTTGTGAAGGAGAGATTAGTTCTCCCTCTGCAATCATGGATACTGCTCTGATTCTTTTCGAGCAGAGCCATTTCTTTCCACCGAATCTAACTGTACATAGTAATCACTTTCAGTCTTGTCATCATGACGCACAATTAGGTTTAAATAAATACCTTTTCTCTGGTCGAGGAGGTGGTTTCAGTGAGTTGTCATTGTGCTTCCTGTTGGTTAGAAACAATGCTATAAAACCAGGTCATGTTTTAAAGCCAATACAAGTCACACAAATTTATTGTACCTTTTTCTCCAGATGACCACTCCAAACACCACGGCTAAGATGATTACAATTAGGACCAAAACTGAAACTGGAATGGATATCGGAAGAGAGCTTCTCAACTGGTACATCAGTGATCCTGTTGATGTAAGAACATTTGAGGTTTGTGCAAATGTCGTAAGGAAAATACACAACTCAATATATGAGACAATTGCAAGACATATACAGGACAGACTGAATCTTGTGCTCTAACCCTTCACATTCAGTGTGACAGTACTGGCTTGTTGCTTGTCACGCCAGAAGATGGCAGTACATGTTAGGCTTTTGACTCCGTCTCCTCCTGCGACCATGAAAGTAATCGTGGAGGTCGTCTCCCAGGTGCCTTGTGACATCAAGGTGTGCGTGACTTCACTGGTGAGGTGAGGGACACTCCACGAGAACTCTGGAGGATGTGAGGGACAAGTGTGCGTCACAGAACACGAGACACCTAAAGTCGAACCAGCGTCGACCTCTGAAGGAACCTGGGTCATCGCTGGTTTATCTGGGGAAGCTGAGCACATAAAGCACAAAGTGGAGTATTGTAAAAGGTTAGAAAGCAAACAGATGAATATACTGGCAAATTTCAATAAGGTAAATAGTTGTGACTCCAGACCTTTCATAATGATAAATACACAGCTGTTGTTGAATCTATATTTCTCATGTTCTCTCTCTGCATAGAAACAGAAGGGTCCATTGTCAAAAGGCTTGATGTCATCAATTTCCAGTGAGCAGTTTCCCTCATGCAGGTCTCCTAATAATCTGGTGCGGCCCTTGAAATGGTCAAGTACATAGCTCTGGCCATTGTGGTAGACAACACCCCCCGATTTTTTGGACCAGATGCCGCGTGTGAGAAGCATTTCCCCCCCATACTGGAAGCTGCAGGGAATCACCACACAGGAGCGGGTCAGGGCGCTGAATCTGAAAGGGACGTCAGCAGCCAGATACGCTGTAAAGAGAGAAAGAGGAGCCATGATGGGATGCCTGTAGAGATGAGTCCTCGTGTGACGTGACAGGACAGAAAGGTGTGTTTTGAGAGAACTGATAAGTATACCCACTGTCATTTTCATGTGGATCTCTTTCTTCAACTGGTTTGACATATTCTGGAAAACATGACAACGAACAAATCAAAATTAAATATTATTATTTTCTTTCTGGCAGAAAAGTAGAAAATTTAGAGATTGATACCATTTTCATAACTGTATATTAAATGTATGGCTACCTGCAGCAGCCAGTTAGCGTAGATTAATTAAGCATAAATACTGGACACACGGGGAAACAGGCCTGTGTAAAATGATAATTCATTATTTTATGTGGAGTTATGTGCTGGATTTTTGCTTGGCTCCAGGAAGTTACCGGTCAGACAAATACCACCCCATAAAAAGGGTGAATTTTTGTTTTTGCACTTGGGTTTTTGTATGGATTAAACAAACTAGACATGTAATTAGTGAGTGGCAGAGGTGATGGAAATCAAATTTTGTTACCTTTGCCCAGAGCCAGGCTTGCCGTTTCTCCTTTCCAGTCTTTGTGTTAAACTAAGCTAACTAGCTGCTGGATGTAGCTTTATATTTAACAGATATGAGTACGTCATCAATCTTCTAAAATGTCATATGAGTAAGTTACCACTGAGTATGGCATGGCAGGAACTCACTTTTTATATGAAGGACTGCAGAGTCTGAGGTCTTGCCTGTCAAAAACTTAGCAGTGCAAGTCAAAGGTTTACCGTCATCTCCCAGGGACCCAATAAAGGTTAGATTTGACACCGTTTTATATGTATTGCTTGCCATCGGTTTGGTGTATGATGAACTCTGCATGTCTCTAAAGTTCCACACTATGATTGGTTCATTTTTCTTGCATGTGTAGGAAACAGAGCAAATGACACTTGTTGCTACACCCTCTGTTGCCTCGCCGGGTTGCTCAACCATTGTGATTTCTGTGTATGGACCTGAGAAGAGATTTGATAGTGAGGCTTAAAGCTAAGCAGGAGCATTTCATTCTAGTAATTATAACATGAATTTCCCCTAAGGCATAAATAAAGTATCTATCTATCTATCTATCTATCTATCTATCTATCTATCTATCTATCTATCTATCTATCTATCTATCTATCTATCTATCTATCTATCTATCTATCTATCTATCCATCTATCTAATTCAAGTAGCACCTTGTCTCACACTGTACTCACATTCAACATTCAGCTTAAGCTCTCTTGTGGCACTCTGACCACCACGATAGCGTACAACGCAGTTCACACTGTAATCCGCCTCTTGTACGGTCCAAGTTCGTTCAACTGTCCTTTCCCAAATCCCATCTGATACCAGAGTGTCCGTGGGGAGGTTGGCTCCAGGGTTACCATTTAGGGTCAGGGTGGGGGGAGAGGAGAGACATGTATGGCGCACACTGCAGGACACTGTGCTCTGCTCTCCCACCCTGGGGATACCACTGATGCTCAACTGTGGCTCCTGTGCATGGTCTATAAAAGTCAAAGCAAGAATAGTCATTTGGAGAATTGCATTTTTTGGAATTGGGATTGAATTGACTAAAAGGGGGGTGGGGTGTTTAATATTAAGATACTTACCTGAAACAATAAGTTGAGTGGTTTTATCATAAAGCATTTGGTCCCTGGTATGAAAGGAGGCAATAGGGTTCTTATCTATCCATGGGTAAAGTCTGTCCTGGTTGTGTGACATCTCCAGCCTCTCGATCTTAAGACTACAATTTCCCTCCCTCACAGAACCCATCACGCTGGTTATCCCATTAAACTTACTAATCACACTCTGTGTTCGGTCAAATACAGGCGGGTATCCATTGCTCTGATACAAGTACCATATTACCCGCAGGTCAGAAGGCTGGGAGATACTATAAGTGAATCTGCAAGGAATGATGACACATGAGCCTCTCATGCCTGTGATGCTGCTAGGGGTGGTGAAGGACCAACCACGAGTGAGCATATTTCCTGTTAAAAGAAAAAAAAAATTGTCACTAGCATTGACACTACATAAAAATATCAGTCAAAGCTTCTCTGCATGAGTCATCGGAAGTACAACAAAAAATAGATTTTCCACTCATGCGTGAGGAAGTAGAAGAAGAATCGAACAAGAAAAAAGAACAAGCCAGCTCTGAGAAATAAAAAAAATAAAAATTACAGAAACAACAGAAACTACAGCACTAGTTTTAGTGATTCAGGATAGTTCTGGCATATGACTACTAGAAAGGCTATAAAGCTAATAAGGATCAGTTGTTAAATGAAGATTATTATTATTTCTACTCACTCTTTACCCGTAGGGTGATGCTCTCTTCTAGCCTCCCTCCCCCACTAAACTGTGCATAGCATGTCAGAGATCTTCCATGGTCGTTAGCTGACGCAGTGAATGTCAGCGTGGAGACAGTCGTCCACTTAGCATTTGCGATGTTCCTGGTGTCAGTTGAGGCTGGCATGTTCATGTAGTTCCATGTGAGAGTTGGTACATTTTTAGGGCATGTGTATGAGGCAGTGCAGGTTACTTTGCTTGCATATCCCTCAAGAAATTCTTCTGATGTAGTGCTGATAGTCAGACGTGAAAAGGAGCCTGAGATACAAATGGTAAATGTTTTAATTTAGGGTCAGCATAAAAGAAAAACAGGATTTTTTTTTATACATATGCATCACATACATATACATACATTCTGCATTTAAGGTTTGGGAGTTTTGTGCACTTAGACCACCAGTGTGCCGGACGGAGCACTCCACAGTTTGGTGGTCTTTCTCTATGTACAACATGGATGTCAAAGAAGTTTTGTACATGGCATTAGACATGATGGTACGAGTCTGATGGCTTCGTAATGGGATGTTGAGTTTCAGAGCGGGTGGGTCAGTGGGACAGGTGTGATAAACAGAGCATTCCACTTGCACATACTGTCCGACCTTCCTGTTTCCAGAGATCATAATGTCTGGTTTCTCTGCAGTGCCTTTATAAAGAAAATGTGAAGAGTTATTTATGAGAATAAATATATATCCATGTAACAATAAAGTTTTTACAAGTGCACTACCTACCCACTACTTCAATTGTTACAGTTGTATCATAGAATCGGTAGGTGCTTTTCCCGACATTCTCTGGATCTACCCAGGGGTAAATCTTCTGTCTGTGGTGAGACCAAGTCACTGGGTAGATCCTTAGACTGCATGTCTTACTACTTGTATGGCGGTATAGATTTGTTGTTCCTTTAAATATATTAATGACACTATGTGGATACCAGCTGTCGTAAACCAAAGGATATCCATGGCTCACATACTGGTACCAAACCACACGCTCTGGTCTTCTAGGTGGATACTGATAATAGTCAAAACTGCACGGGATGACGAGGCAGGAACCCACCAATCCTTTAATGTTGTTTGGCAGATCTACATTCCAAGCGCTGGAACTGCAGAAAATGAATCCTGCAAAGGACCATTATGGAAAAAGGACAATTTAAATTCAGAAAAAAGGAAAAGGTTGTTAGTGTGTATATGTTGAAAAATTAAATAGTACAATACTGTAGTACCTATAATACACAAGCTCAGGAGAATATGGCTGAATCCAGACATGTTTCCACCTAAAATATATGTAAAATAAACATCTTAGTTTCATGCATTGAAGTTAAAAGAGGTTAAAAAAAAAATAAAACAGAAAATCTGTTATTCAATTATCAAAAGTACATCCTCTAGAAAATTCAAATTTTCCTATAAAGTAAAAAAAAACAGATTCATCCTAATGTTAACGGAGTACTCAATCAGTTCAATCACTGCTGGATTTCCATTATGTTCTGGAACTCTTATAGGACAGATTCACAGCAGTCAACTATAGAGTCAAAACAGCAGATGGCAAGGGTTCCTGTTTTTTGCATGTTTCAAGCTCAAAACGATCACATCAGGTCTTCAAAAGTTGAATACCTGTTGACTTATGGCCAAGATTTGCAGACAAATAATGTATAGAACACATTCACATTAAATAATTAGATACATGTTTTTTGATCGCATTAATGCCACAGATAAGAATAAAAACATAACCTGAAAGCGGTTTGAAACATAACAACAGCAATTCTGTAACTGACATGAGATAATTAATGATCAAATTCCCTTACCACCAGAAGTGAATGTTCATAACGAGTTTAAGAACCTGTGAGATAACTTCCTATAATCTCCCCCACCTCTACCATCACTACTTCCTGAAATGTGGGCGGGGGTGTGATTTGTTGACCACAAGGAGGGGAAAGATCTTGCCCACTAAAGCATACTGACAGCCATACTAATACGTTTTCATTTTAATACAGTGTTTTAAACTTGCAAACACATATTACATGACCATGCACAATGCCAGTGCAAGCAGGTAGCACATTGTGTTGACTCTTGTGTAAAAAAGTTAATGATTCTTCTTAAAATCTACATTAAAATCAATGCACCTTATTAAAACTTAATTCCAACATACTGCTGACAGACAAAAAACATTCTGCCTGTATTTAGATGTAGAACATAATATGTATAGAGCGCTGCAGGGATGAGTCCTAAAATCCAGAAATTAGTTAGCATTTTAGCTTTTTAAAATCTTTTTGGTAAGATTACTGAAATAAGGTCAGATTTTGCAGCACAGCGCTTTCCCTACCTTTGACCAGCTGAGGTCCCCATCTATGGTGGCCCTGAGAGCTCAACACACTGCAACAGCTTGTCGGCCCGTTTATGGGCCAAGTAGAGAGTTCTGAATGTGTTCTGACGGAGTAAATGCTTAAACGTTTTTCAATATAGACAGGCTTTACCTCCTTCAATCAGTTAGAGTCTCTACAATCCAAATATTCAGTTTATTTTCCACTATCCATAAGCACATAAATATGATTTATTAATATCTACCAGCATTGTGTACCAGCTGAGCGTGGTGACTGCCTACTGTTAAGATGTGTAGAACTTCCAATTCTCTCTTCATTCCTCCATTATTTGTATTCCTTTAGTCCGTGAGGGTCCACAGATCACAAAAATCTCATGAAAAGTCCAAAGCAGATGACCGAGCGATTTGTATCCATTGCTCTTCCCTCACTTGACCTCTCTTTCTCCCTGGTGCTCCTGCGGCTGTGTTAGCGGGTCTGTTATTGTTTGTTAACTTCTTGCTTACAAAGTGGAGGCCTGTAAAGAGCCAATCAGATTTCTCTTCAGGGGGTCGTGGGAAGATGGCGAACATAACCGAACTTAAGACGTATTGGTGTTCGCCCCGTCAGAAAAAGGCAGTTTTTTCACAGCTTTTTTGAATAAAGCCATATAGTTTCTCTTATGTCTCAGATTTGTAATTACTAATTTTCGCTATTGAGGGTGAAATATCAAACTCATCATCTCAACAAAATAGTAAGAAAAACTAATTCAGAATTTTGGAATTTGCAAATGTATTAAAAGAAAATATCACAGAAATATCACATGGACATACACATTTAGACCCTTTGCGATTACACTTGAAATTGAGCTCAGATTGTGTTTTTGTTTTGTCCTTATAGAGTATGAGTGTATAGTGATCAGGAATCTTTTTTTTCTTTTCTTTTTTTTTTTAGCACAAAGCTGCAACTTAAGAAAATGTGAAAAATGCACTTTTAAAATGCCCTGTATGTCTGGATATGTGAATGTTTATTTCAATTCTTTGAAAAGAAAATATCTGACATTTTGAAAAATATGCTCAGTTGACTTTTGCAGAGTAAGATGGAAAAATTGATGCCACTGAAATAACAGCTATTTTGCTTATCACTTTCTCAGGTATTAATTGCCTTCAGTATCCATTTATCTCACAGTATTCATTCATCTCTCAGGCCCAGCAATGGTGACACCATGTCTGAATACACAGACTGAACAAAGGTGCATACTTAACAGCTATGCAAAAGTAATTACAATTACATTCAAATATATAGTTTATGATATATTATCATACATAGTGCACTTTACTTCCCCAAAATAATCAAATTCTTCAAATATGTTTTAATTGATAGAAGAGATTACCACAGTGGTCATGCATAACAAAACTGCAATTATCAGATACACTTATACAGATGATCACTTTTACATTGTTTGCTTGCACAAACACAAACAAATACTCTCCTTGGAAACTAATTTTCTTTTTTCAGATGTTTCCGTAGACGTTGAGGTCCGCAGTGTTCATGTAATCATCACCATCATCAAGGTCCTGTGAGAGATGAAGGTCATTATCGTCAAAGGATGTTGATATTGTCAGCGTATTGTGTGCAATTCTTGGAAATAAATCATTTGTAAATGAATAATACCTCTTTGTAATTGCAGGATTTTGGTTGGCTGGTCCATTAAAAACAACAACAATAATAAGGAGAGAGAGAAAAAGAATAAGACATAAGACACTGATGTTCTGTAATACATGATATATTTACAGTATTTTACCAACTGGTCAGGTTCAAGGGGAGTAAGACATGTACCTTTTAGGGGATGGAAAACGAGGCTTGGAGATTTTCTGGTCAGTGCAGGATTGTGAATTCACGTTATTGGGCCTGTGGATTAGAATTTATGTCACTACACAGTCGGGTAAGCAACAATGAGCTATTTAGTTGTCTTATGTTTAACCCGCTTACGTATGTCCAAAATCCACCATGTCCCCCCTAGGCCGTCTGTAATGGACAATAACATATCATTTAATATAAATCATCATAAATCAAAAAAAAATTAATGCAGAAAAATGAAACAGATACATACTTATTACATTTTAACAAAAAAAATTCTTAAACATTAACTTAGATTTAACTGTGAACACCAAAGTGTGTTTGAACTCTGAAAACGCCTTCTAAAGATATATATTTGTGGAGGCTGATGAGCTGTCATCAGTGTTTTTCATGTATTACCTTGAAAATCTGCTCCAAATTGACCTTCTGCAAAAAAAGAAGAACAGAAACTATGCAAATGTTGTGAAGCATATAAATAAATGCGTAGATGAAAAACAGCAAGAAGTGCACCACGCTACACATGCAAATTATAGCGAATGTACTTGTACTGTACTTGCGACAGTACAGAACACCAAAATTACACACAGCAAAACAGATCATAGATAAAGAACCTAAACTTCCTCTTGCCTTTGAGCAGAATGAGATGGTCCTGGGCCTCCAGAACGAAACCTGAAAATTTCACAGATTAAATTGTATAGTTCTGAAATGAAAAGTTACTAAGAATACATTACTCTTTCCAACTCCAGGAAGAGAAAGTTAAAACAAAGCACTGTTGCTTCTCACCTGCGAGACAGCCTGGAAATTCGGTTCCACATGCTAAACGTCATGGAAAATTATATTATGATAAAACCAAAAAAAAAAGAAGAGGGGAGTTGAAATCATGTGGTATCAATGTAATACAATGAACTAAATATGTTTTTTGATATTTGTACCTGCCATCCTGACTTTGGAGCTCTGCAATGCGTCTCCTTGAGTAGAGAGAAAACAATCTTGTTTTATTAAAGTGAATACACTGTACACAAATGAATTAAACAACTGGGGAAAGTGCATGAAGAAAAATTATGTTTTGCGCTCATCTATTATGCTCTGTTGATCTGTTACTGCATTGCTCACTTGTATTTTTTCACCATGAAAATGCAGACGACTCCAGATATCACAGTGATGCCAATCCCCACTACAGTGGGGATGATGATGTGTTTATAGTTTTCTGTACCTGCAAGTACCAGAATTTACATTAGACACTGGACATCCTCAGAGTTCAACAACAAAGTGAAAAGCTCTTACGTTTTATGTAGAGTTTCATTGTTGCAGAGGATGTCTTCTGTCCATTAAAGACAGCTGTGCAGGTGATTTCACTGTGATCGTCCTTCTCCTCAGGAATGAACGTCAGGATGGACTGTATCTCCCAGTGACCAGGATGAAGTTGTCTGTGACTCTCAACAATCTTTTCTGGGGTGCTCCTGCTCCATGTGAGTTTAGGCACATGGGAGGGACAGGTGTGGGTGACTGAACAGGTGACAGTGTAGGGATGTCCCTCGGTGCCTGTCTCTAGGTGAACCAGTGAAGGCGTTGGAGGTTCAGCTGTAAATGAAAAGAGGCAGAGCTTAGGTGAGAGGCAAATCATTGTAACATAGAAAACTGACTGGTGATGTGTGAAATTTTGTAAGGTTGGTGACATACAGAGCATTGTCAACTCAGCACAATCCTCAATAAAGGAGAACTTGTCTACGGTGGACAGGTCATTCTCTGTTCGTGCTAGTTCAATCCGGAAACAGAACGGGCCATTGTCATGATTTTTGATATCAGTAATTTCTAAGGTGCAGTTGTTTTGACCCAACTCTCCCAGCAACTGTGTGCGACCACGAAAGTTTTCCAAGATCCTTGTTTTATCCTCATTATAGACAAATGCCTGTTTGTCACTTGAACGATGCCAGATCCCTCTGAGTCTGGAGGAGGGCAGGTTTTCTTTAGGGTGGGTGAAGGAACAGGGTATCACAATGCACGATGTCACCAAGGCCTTGAGGTCTTTTACAACAGTGGCTTTCCATTCTCCACTAAACACAGGGCTGCAAAAAGCTGAAAGAGAAAAATGGAGGTGACAAAGAAAGAAGTGAAGTCCAGATGTTTTTTGATAACTACGATACACAAGAAATAGATTGGAAACAAAGAGGTGACTAGTTATGCTACCTGCCAAAAGAAGACAGAAAATCTTCATGTTTCGCTCTTTGCCAGTACTTCGCTGAGGTTTTGTTAGTGCAATACACTGTGGGTTGTATAAATGACATGAAAGGAAATAAAAAATAAAATCACAACCTACTGATGCTACATGCATTATGCAAATTACAACACAGCTGTGAAAGTGGAACTTCTTCAGTGCTAATCTTCACATACAGGAGGTTTTTATTCACACAGCAAATACCAGTATTTTTTAAAGTCCTAGTAAGGATAGACACATCATAAGCAACACATAATACAGCAACCATACATTTTCTCACCAAAAGTAAAAACAGATTATTTCATAGGTGATTTGGCTGCACTCTCTTTCTGTTCATGACTGTTTTCACACAGTAAGTCAATCAGCCTCACACACTTCAGTATAAAAATTTAACCAGTAAGACAAACTGTATCATTCCTTCACTACTGAGCTCAACACTACTTTAGAAATGAAATATTTAAAGAACCAAGACATTTAAGAATAATGTAGCCCTGCCAGAAACTTACCTGATAAAGCTGCTGTCTGGTTGATCAAAGAAGTCTGTGTCTACTAAAAACACTTCATTGAGAATGCCCACTTGTGCTGTGCTATTGTGCAGTTAAGTTGAGAAAGACATGAACTCTAGAGGCAAAAGAAAAAACTGCAGGCCAATGTGGAAATCAATGTCTCTTCAATGCTTTGTGTGTGGAAGTTAAACGCAGACGTAGCAGCTGCAGCAGTAGTGTTAATAAATGTGTGAGATATCTTGCGGTGCAGTCACAAAGTGTGAGAACAGTGAAACTTTTGTTGCATTGCCTCCAGCAGGTTCAATTTCAAAAGCATTAATGGGGGTTGACGTGCTCACTCAAACTTTAGAGAGTTTATAACCAACCCGAAAGGTCAGTGAAGATAATAGGATATGAGGGTATTTTTGTATGAAGGTATTTTTGGTGTTAAACAACTGAGCACCTGTGACAGTGGAATTAGTAGTTGTATAGAATAGTCTCATGTGTATCAGTAAATCTGAGGTCAGAGAGAAAACATGCTGCACACTTGTAGATTTTTTCTCCACACACAAACACAACACAGCAGTAACACCTTCTCAAATTCTTCATTGCAGGGGCACAAATCCTGTTTTACAAATCACAAATTAAGAAACTCATACACTCACATTTTTGCTACAGTTGCTGCAGTGATACACATATGTGACTGTTTTATACAACTACTAATTCCACTGTCACAGGTGCTCAGTTGTTTTGCACCAAAAATACCTTCATAAATTTGGAACAGAAAGTAGATGGACAAATTCTCAAAATCAAGTTAATTTGTCTGACATATAGAGACTTGGTACGTTCCCTGATGATGCTCTGCCACACCTGTACTGCAGCCACGTTGCACATCTGTGGGCTTTTTGACAACATGACGCTCCAGTTGAGGCAATCTGTCCACTTAAGTCCACTGAAGGAAAGCCAGGTGCCTCTCATACTACATTCAGACCAATTTGATTGTGTTGTTATGTAGGAAGATGTAAAATAAAAAACATTGGAAATAAGTGGGCCCAAAATCTTGAAAATGTACAACTATTTTAGATCAGCTCTATCATTTCCACAAGTCTGTTATTTTTTTTCATTTTGTATAGGAAAATGTAAAGAAAAATCCTATGTTTTGTATTCATTAATTAATCAGTAAATTTTCTTTACTATCAAAATTACAGTCAGTCCAGTCCAGTTTGTGGACACATGCAGATCTAAACAGAACTTATAACTCAAAATTCTGTTTGACAAAGATAACATTTGATCAGTTGTCACAATAAGAGCTCTATGTTCTTTCTGTTTCTTAATATGTTTCTAAAAACAGACATTAGCTTCTTGTTTGTCTGTGAAAAAAAAGAAAAGGAGCTGCACTTCTTTCAACAGAAATAAAAAATGATGATACCTTCCTGCTTTTCCAACTCTCTCCCCACACCAATAATTTCTGTACTGTCCCTAATCAGATATTGCCAGATGTGTTTTCTGCACATTCCTCTTCCTGAAATCAGAGGGGTAGTGGGCCTTCACATCAGGAAAGAACATTCCTAGAAGAAAGTCAGTGAGAGAAAGTGAAACTGTCTTTGCTGGAATCACTGAGGGACAAAAAGTAGAGCATGTATATTTTGTTTAACGTTACCACTTCTAAGAATAGCAGGGCACATGACTGTTTCCTCTACATGTTTTGCTGTTTTCTTGTGGTGTGAGCAAACTGTAACTGACTGAATGTTTGAATGCCTTGTTGTAAAACACCACAATGCAACAGAAGCATCTGAATTTCTAGTCAGGCAGGTAAGCAAAACAATTGTGCATTTTATGACTATGGCTTAAGTTTCAACATATAATCTACATATCCCCAGGTTTTATTTCAAGGCAATTCATATCTGACTTCTGGTGACCGTGGGGGGGTCATTTACCTCAGCATTGTATTTTTCCAGTTTTTGCATCATTTCCCCATAATAATCATGTATATCTTTGCCAAAATTGCATAAAGATGCGTATTTGCTGCTATGGCTGATGTAACATAATTTTGCTTAGAGCACCAATTTTGCCAGGGGACTGCAGACCCTACCATTTCCAGGTGTTAAGGTAGCTGTAGCTTGTTAAAAACACTGACAACTTCTGCTGTGTTCTATGGAATCACATGACTAGCTAGCACATTAGCGAACATTCTAATCAAAAGTTAGCACGCTAGTTTATTCTACACCACACTCGTTACTCCAGGGAGCTCTGCCCTGTCCCAGAGGTCAAATCTGAAATACCTCCACGTCTGAAAATAAACTTCATGGTTTATCGAGGCAGTGGAGAAAGTTTCATGCTGTAGTCATAAAATACATAATACCTGCTGTATATATTGAATATTTCCTTTTTGGTTTGCTTTAAGACAACTTCTCTGACTGCTATTTCCACTGGACAACACTACTTTCCATTTGTAAAGCTTGAAGTCGGTACTGATTTCACAGGTCCATTTTAAATCCTATGTGCAAAACAGTACATTGGATGTATTAATGGGTCATGTGTTTTTGTCTTTCAAAAGTCTTAAGGTCCCAAGATAAAACTGTATCATTATGCACATGGAGAAAAGGCCCACCCTGCCCCTGCATCACACCACTTTATTGTCATTACCTCAACTACTCTGTTCTCACTCGCACTGTTTTTTTCTTTTTGTAGTTGAGTTCATGTCTTTATATAGGGAATCCCACATGTGCAGAAACAAACGGTCTTGATCAGCCACACAGCTGCAGAATCTGGTAAGGTTTTAAGTTTCTGATAGCACCAAATTATAATTAAATAATATGGATCAGAATATCCAGTAGACTTAGAGTTTTTGATATTGATTGTTTCTGATGTACTGCTGAGCAACTCGGGATATTTTGTTTCTTTTCAGATATTTTTTCTTATTTACTATTGTTTGTCCAGCTAATTTCATTTATGCCATTTTTTCTTCCTGTCTATTTTTTTCATTAGTTAAAATATATTAATTGTATATGAGGACATGAATAATGTCAGTATTTGTCATATAAATACATTTACAAGTAGTTTCACTTTTGCAATTGTAATTTGCATGTGGTCATACATGACATTTTTCTTCCACCTAATTTTTGTTTTCTTCGCATTTAAACGCCTCAGCAACAAAAACCCAAAGAAGTATGTACAAACAGAGGAAGATGATGATGTTGTGTCTACTTTTGGCAGGTAACTCAAATAGATTTGAAAATATTGTGTGTTTTTTCCACTTCCCTTCTTTCTTTGTTAATTTCATTTTTCTCTTTCAGCTTTTTGCAGCCCTGTGTTTAGTGGAGAATGGAAAGCCACTGTTGTAAAAGACCTCAAGGCCTTGGTGACATCGTGCATTGTGATACCCTGTTCCTTCACCCACCCTAAAGAAAACCTGCCCTCCTCCAGACTCAGAGGGATCTGGCATCGTTCAAGTGACAAACAGGCATTTGTCTATAATGAGGATAAAACAAGGATCTTGGAAAACTTTCGTGGTCGCACACAGTTGCTGGGAGAGTTGGGTCAAAACAACTGCACCTTAGAAATTACTGATATCAAAAATCATGACAATGGCCCGTTCTGTTTCCGGATTGAACTAGCACGAACAGAGAATGACCTGTCCACCGTAGACAAGTTCTCCTTTATTGAGGATTGTGCTGAGTTGACAATGCTCTGTATGTCACCAACCTTACAAAATTTCACACATCACCAGTCAGTTTTCTATGTTACAATGATTTGCCTCTCACCTAAGCTCTGCCTCTTTTCATTTACAGCTGAACCTCCAACGCCTTCACTGGTTCACCTAGAGACAGGCACCGAGGGACATCCCTACACTGTCACCTGTTCAGTCACCCACACCTGTCCCTCCCATGTGCCTAAACTTACATGGAGCAGGAGCACCCCAGATAAGGCTGCTGAGAGTCACAGACAACTTCATCCTGGTCACTGGGAGACACAGTCCATCCTGACGTTCATTCCTGAGGAGAAGGACGATCACAGTGAAATCACCTGCACAGCTGTCTTTAATGGACAGAAGACATCCTCTGCAACAATGAAACTCTACATAAAACGTAAGAGCTTTTCACTTTGTTGTTGACCTTTGAGGATGTCCTTTATTTTGAAGTTCATATACTGGATTTTGTCCACCTCCCATTTGTGCAACATAGCTACAGTAAAGGACACATCTGATATAAATTCTGTCTATTTGCAGGTAAAGAAAACTACAACCACATCATCATCCCCACTGTAGTGGGGATTAGTATCGCTGTGGTCTTTGGTCTATTCTGCATTTTCATCGTGAAAAAATACAAGTGTGTAGATTACTAATTAATTTACAGAGAACAGAACATTCAGTGATTAAAATTAACAAAGAGAAACTCTCAACCTATCTTATTTTGAAGTTTCCTCTGAGCTCCTAAATAAAAGATTTTTTTTCTGTCAAAGGAACCGCATTGCAGAGCTTCAAAATCAAGAGGGCACGTGAGTACAAAAATATTTTAGATCAGATTCAATTTGTTGTACATCGGTTCTTTCAGTCTCATGAGAATGTGATTCATGTACTTATTTATTTTTCTGTCACATTTAGCATGTTGAACCGGCTTTCCAGACTGTCTCGCAGGTGACTTTTTTTTTTTAAAATTGGGACGTATGAGATACAACAGATATGTATTTTGTCTACATGTCTTGAATCTCTGAGATTAGAGATGTAGACTACAGTTTGTCAAACAAGGATTCAATTTCAAAAAGCAAAAGCCGGCTGAAATAACTGCAGGCCATTCTGATTGACAGCAAGAGGCATTTTAAGGGTTCTTCAGTTCATACCACTTTTACTTTACTGGTTGTTCAAAAGTCATTTAGTCATTTCACAGATCTCTGCAGATGTGACATGTTTATTTTGGTTTTTGACAAGATAAAGTATATTTATATGTGAATGACTATATCTCATTTTCTGTTCTCTTTTCTGTGGGCTCATCAGGAACAGAGTGTGAAGGTGAGAAGTGAAAAAAGAGAACTTAAACACTTAAGCATGTTTTCTTCATTAATTATATCCACAGTTAAACTGAAATGAACTTGAACATTTTTTATTTGTTAATTTATTTTTATTTAGTGTATAGACCACATGTTAATACCAAGTGTAAATGTGATGTAATTAATTAGTCATTCCTGATAAAGATATGTCAGTGCTTAACCCTGCAGCACTCCAGTCAGATGAATACTTTCTGGGTTTACCTCAAGTAACCACTTTCACATGTTTGATTCACAGTTGATATATTAGTGATTGATGCAAGTTTAAATGTCACACATAAAAAAAATCTAAATGGATAACATCTCTTTTTTTTTCTTGTTCTTTTAGATAATCGAAGGACAAATTATGCGTCTTTGAAGTTTGGCGACAGTCGAGTCGAGTCCTTTACTGCAGAATTGATGCTTGCTTTCATTTTATTCACATATTCGCGTCAGAAAAATGACATTATCTTCATAGCAACTTAGAAAAGAAAAAAAATAGAACATAAAAACAAGTTATAAAATTCTGTTAACAAAGCTTGAATGTTTTAGCAGCATAATAACCCAAAAAGCAACGTTGTGTACTATTAACTCAAATAGAAGTCACTGTAAAAGTTGTAAATGGAAAATTACTTTTCATTACCTTCCTTAGTATTTACTTTGGTTTGTTTTCTCAGAACTTAAATTCAAATTATGAGCAGCAAATACACTTTTTAGTTGTGAAACTCATATTCTACCACCATCCATTGGCATGTGAAATTAAAGATGGTGTGTCCAGTTTTCACAGTTGATAATTATAGCCAACCATGACAGGATGTGCTGTGGTATGTGTATTTTGCAGCCTTCACAGCTCATCTAAAAGTGTTTTAACCTCGGTTTGAAGAGAATTATGTTTAAAATGGCTTTTCCATCTCAATAAGAAATATCCATTAAATTGTATCACACATATACACACAGATGTATCAGTTATGTAAACCATTTTTTTGTATATTAAATCTTTGTGTGCAGTGTGTAGTGTTGTGTCATTATTACTTGACTGGTAATTTCTTTCTCCTCCAGAAGAGAGAGCTGTGTATGCACAAATCTTCCTCATTCTGTCAGATGACAGATATACTCAAGTTTTACTGCTGTAACAGTCTTGAGATATTTGGAACTGACTTTTTTTATTCAATAAAGCAAAATCTGGAACTCCTACACCAGGTAAGTCAGAGACAATGGGCTATTTAGGACTTGACCTAGCATGGATGTGTTCAATGAGCTGGCCACTGTCAGTACTCATTCAGTCATGTTGGTCAGATGGTGGTGCTTTAAAACCTTTTAAGAGCTGAAGTCATCAAAGGGCAGGGAGTGAAACAAAGAGCGGAAACAAGCTGAATTAGGTGACAAGTGCAATGGAAAGTTCAAGACATTCTGTGGTTCCCTTCAACAAATCAACCAAAACTTCATATTGATGAAAGTAGTACAGGTTAGTCATAAAAATAGTCTGTGCCATGGTTTCATACCTTTAAGTGTACTACACTGAAAGTGAATTACAAATTGTAATTTTGACACATAAGGGATTTCTCTATAAGAATTTGTCTTTCAGGTGATTGAGATTACATCTGGATTCAGAGATACTTCCAAGTAAGAAAATAACCTGATTCTATATATAAAAGTTGAATTTTAAATTGAGAAATTCAGGAGATTCAGGCTTCACTGTAAAATGTTTTCGCCACAACAACTGGAGGCAGGGTTGCCATTATTTTACTGTAAAATTAACGGTACCATGCTGTTGCTGGTATTTACAGTTTGCTAACATTTTTGTAAATACAGCAAAAAGCTGTTATTTTCTACTTTTACAGTAAAATACTGATGAAGGATTGGCATTTTATTGCTGTTTATTTACACTTTTTTCACAGGAGCAATATTTGCAGATTTTTACCATTAACTGTAGTACATATATAAAACATGCTGCAGTATAACTGCTAACAAAAAGAACTACATATTTTTCCCTAAACTTTATGAGTTGATAAATTATTCCTTGTCAGTCTTGCTATAAAACTATATTTCAATACATTGAATAAACGTGGTCTTTGAAATCGCAACTTAAAATTTTAAGACAAATAATACTAAAATACTCAAAGTGTCTTTTCAAACCACGTCTCTCTTTATTAAGCTTGTAAAAACACAACACGCAAATAAAACAAAATTTCAGTCATTTAGACAAGATCTCTAACAAGTGTTGTCTGCATGAACATTAAACACTGAACGCAAAAAAACACAAGAAATATTATCAAAAATAATCAAGTGGTTCTCTAACATGTATTTGTATATAAGGATTGTATGAGGGAACAGCTTAACGAGTGAATGAGTGGCCAAGTGAACTGGAAAAGAGTGTGGCCAAGACACTAAGTGTGTGAGTGAGTGTGTGAACTGACTTATGTAGAGTCTCACTCAAAGTCCTTTACTTCTTTAGTAGACTTGAGACACAAGGGTTGACTGATGCCATCGTTTTCTGGGTGACCTTCCCCAGACTTTGATCCGTCCAGCCTTGGTGCCTCTGTCAGGATTTTTCCCCATGAATGGCCTGAAAAACAAGAGTGTGTATTCAGGTGGGGAAATAGAAACGTGTACTTTCATGGTGCAGATTAAGTAATAGTAATTTTGGAAGTAATAGTTTCGCCTTGATTATTGTCAGAAAAGCTTCCTTAAAGGTGCACTATGCATTCCTGCATGACGTCACTTCTGTTGACGTTCAAAGTAAATACCAAACAAAACAGAGCAGCTGCCCCCCCCCCATGTTTTGCATCGGACTGGAAGCCCTTCTGCCGGTGGAGTTCTCGCCACCTTTGAATCGATTCCCCAATATAAATGCGGGTCTTCTCGTTCGTTCCTTCTCCATTTCTCTCCTCCTCTCGCCATATATTCATTCCGAACGTCTTTTCTTTGGTCGTGTTCCGTGCCTCGGCCATCTCCCAAAATATATGGTTGAGTCGTTAGACCTAGTTCACGGCGCCGTCCAGCTATTACTCTCAGATACTCCTGCCCCCACCCCGCCCAGCCCCCACCCCACACACTAACCCCCACCCCCTCCCCCAACCATCTTGTCAGTGATTGGCTGGAACGTGGTTTGTTATGTTTTGGGGCACAGCCTGTGCCCCTAGTGTTTGTTTGCCGTTTGCGACGCCTGTGTTGTCTCCCGAGACCGTGCTTTTTCACAGTGTATTCAGGGGGCAGGCAGCTAGCGGATCAAGGGGAGATGGCTATGATTTGAGACAAAAATAAAATCGCGCTAGAACCATGCAGGAATGCATAGTGCACCTTTAACACGCTCCAGTAATCAGATGTTTTAGGCAGCTTGTATGTAACATGTTAGACAAAACTCAACAAACACACAGTCAACATGATCAAAGCTGCTGTGAGCACACAGTACCAGTTGAAGGATGTGAGCATCTCACCTTTGAATTAATTCCAGTGTGCATGCAGCTTCATCTTGGGACTGAAGATTGAAGCTGTAGTGAGTAGAAAAGACTGCAGCGAGTGTGGTCAGCTGGTTGGGTGCCCTCACAAAGGTCATGCCCCTCAGTGCTGATCATGAAGTGGTGAAAACAGCTTCCTGTTTGACCTGAAATTTGACAAAGAAAAAAACCGCATTGACATTGTCACACTGAAAATGATATGTACCAGGGAAACTGAAATCCTTCTACCCATTCACAGATGAGTCCTTTTCTGTTTGCTATATACATTATAAGGTGTTATGATACAGAACTGAACCGTGTTGAACAGCCACATTATTTCTGCTCTGTTCAGTTTAATAATAGTGGAAGTAACATATGATGACAGTTTAGCTAGCTTGCTAACATTAGCAAACAAGCTCCAGGTCAATTCAGTCACGACAGTAAAGTAGCGTTATCTAAATAAAATCAGCAGCGTCCTTTGGAGACGTGCACTTAGCAGATGCTAACACAAAGTAAAGTTTAAGATCCACACACGGTGAAACTGCCAGTGAAACGGGTGATAGAAAGTTACCATTAAAGTGTTACCGACCTTTTCAGATCACAACAGAAGGATTTTTTTTTTTTACCACTTAGCAACTGTTCAGCTATACACCGAAGTAGCTAACGTTAGCTGAAAGTGCACACTGTTAGCTTGTGTTTGTGTCAGCTCAGACTCAGAGCTCAAATGACTTAAACTTAATTCAAGTCCAATGCTCTTTACATTCACTCTGAATACAGGTCATTTTAGCGAAATAATCCTAAACATAAATATACGCTTAAAGTAGTTTAAAGACTAACATTACAAGTAAAATAACTCATCTTGTTTAATGGTATTCTACTAGGGGTTTTCAACTGGTTTTGTCCCAGGGACCACCATTATAACCAAGAAGCAACTCAGGGACCACTGCTTTGGCGGATGTTTGTTTTATTTTGCACCAAGCTTAAAATTAAGGAGGATAGACCTATACAGGCTATTTATTTGCATCAGTGTATGTCTATTTATTTGCACCTTGTGCTAAAAGGAAAAACAGACAAGTAGTAATGAACGGAAATAATATGTGGGAAGCCAAGAGGGCTTATAATATTACAAAGTTCACTCTCACTCTGTGGGACAAGGGCTGAGTTTATAGTTTTCTTACCCATCAGTGGGATTTCTGGGCATGGTGAGTTGCACACAGTCTGTCTATTCGTGGCAATATGGTGGATAGGCACAATCTCATGTCACTTTCAGGCTTCAATCTTGACCTGTACTTGTTCTTCAGGTAGGCCAGTGTGGAAAATCCACTCTCACAAAGATAAGTAGTTGCAAAAGGTAACAGAGAGTTGACTGCCTTTGCTGCAAGTGCTGGATATTCTGCCTGACAACCCACCCAGAACTTCACAAGGGGCTGTGTTTCATACATGTTCCTCTTGACAGAGTCTGTGGATAGTTCAATCAGTTGATCCTCTTCTATGGCAGATAAATTTGACCCTGCAGCTGCGTTATCACTGAATGGGAGCAAGATCCATTTGCTGTTACAGCGCCACCGATCAGATTCATCAAAGTTTCCATTTCCATTTCCAATTTCACGGACCACCTGCAATACCGCCACAGACCACCAGAGGGCCACGGACCACCGGTTGACAATCCCTGTACTAGATGATCAATACAACTCGATTGGAAATGTGATGTATTTTGCCTGTGCTAACAAGCAAGGAAAAAAGGCACTCACCTATTCATTTGAAGGATGAAGATGGGTGAAAAAAATCTAACTGCATTGTCCAGTCAAACTTATCACTCTCTGTTTTCCCAAAATGCACTGCAAAAAATACTGTAAATTACTGCTTTCTTTCCTCCAAGCAATAATACTGTAAAATGCTGTTTTAATAGTGTTTCACAAGAAAATTTTACAGTAATATACTGCATTTAAAGATAACAGGATTGTATTGTTGAAATTTCCCCTTAAATGTACAGGAATTTGTTTGTTCTTTTTGCTCAAGCAAGGACACTCTCCTCATCAAAATAAACCAGACACTAATAGGATCAATATGTCAGTCATGGATCTTTGTTAATGATTGAACTTATCGTATATCTTCTTTTGCGTCTTAACGGGAAGCAGAACTACAGTAATGTAGTCGCAGTCGCAGCTTTTGGTTCAAAAATAAGATTAAGAATGGACAGGTTGCATCATTTGGTAACAATATGTTTTCCATAATTTCCAAATACCTGATTCCACAATTTGACAATTTACTATTAACATATACAACAATGGCAGCAATGGCAGCCATAGTTCACATAGTCTCTAATAGACAGAAACACAGTACAGATAGGCTTAGTGAAGACTGCAGTCAACAACATATGACTAATATTCTGCAGGGCACATTGTTAGGTTATACTGTACTGTGTTGTACTGTGTGTCTGTGTTGTAGCTCTGTCTGTCTGTCTGTTGGAGGTGCACTATACTGTTAAGAACTGCTTAAAAAGCTGCCTATTTAAAAAATATATTAAAAATTAAAAATGATATAACATTGGAAAAAAAGAAGAAAGGAAAGTCACATTTTGTCATCATCAAGGTGGAAGAGAAGTGAAGGAGTGGTCTTCACCATCAGACTAGACTTGTCTCTTTTGTGCAACTTTTATGTACTTGCTCACTCCACCTGCTGTGGACACTATCTGGGCACCCAGTCATCATTATGCCAAACTGTGGCACATAGACACATTGTTTCTGGAGTTCAGGTGTTTGCCATCTTGAATGCTTTACAATGCTCCTTTCTACTCAGTGGTAGATATAAAAAATACAGAACACATTACATATCATTAAAAATGATTTACTAGTATCTTTGATAAAATAAGTAGAGCATTGTCACACCATTAAAAAATTATTTACTAACATTTTTGATAAAAATAAGGAGAGTACTCCATTAAATAATGATTTAATGACATATTTGATAAAACAAGCAGAACACTCAGACATGATTAAGACATATCTGATGGATTAAAAATATTTCCCACAACTGTTAGAGGACTGATTCAGGACTACAGACTATATTTGCTGTATTTGCTTTTGTCGGCTCCAAATAGCTTCAGAGCAATAAGAGTGTCTGAAACAGAACAAAGTTTCATTAGATTACGTTCAAATTGTTCCTGCAGGCATTTAGTTGAAAAACAACACTTATATACTTATATACTTTATATCAAGACACTTCACACATGGTGATCATAGTAGCTGCTTGTTTTTAGCACACCAACAGTACTGAGATGATACCTGAAACTAAAGAAATCTAATTGATACAATGACAACACAGTTTACAATACGTACATACGATTACAAATTTTACACAATGGAATGTTCAAACTCTTTGAATGTGTGTTTGTGATTAAAGGAATTCCTCAGTGATTGATTGAGTGAATGACTGACCGATTGGCCGACTGATTAATATAAACAACTGACTATCAGATCCATTAATCAGCAGTGTTTGACTTGTATTGTTCCCGCTGTGTTTAATCTCATCTGGAGAGATCTGATTAATTGTTCTTTTGATGACAGACGAGGTCAGGCCTTCAGTCTGTCCTGCAGGGCTTTCTTTAAAATGGAAGAGCCTGACACATCTCATTCAGTGCTAGAACGTCAGCAGCAAGGAGGGACATTGAAGAGGCAGTTTTAATAAATAGGTAAAAGATTATTTGCGTGGATTCTTCACTTAAGCATAATCATATGTTACAGGTCATATGCAATCGCTAAGATATATTCATTTGGTGCATTTGTGTTTTCTTGATTCACAGATTTGCTCCTTGCTTATCCCAGACTTCCAGATCAAGCACATTTTCTGTCATGGGTAACTCAGCATCCACCGGCTTCATCACTCCCACTCCCAGGAAGCTTTCCTGGGGGCGGCAGAAAGAAGACACAGTCAAACTGGAGGACTTCTTGACTCAGTGCGAAGAGGATCTCTGGAGAGTCAAAGGAAAGTCAAGTCAATCGATGAAAAAGTTCCACCTCACTCGCAGCATCGGTTATGTTGATCTAGCTGTCCAGGAGTGCAACAGTTTCTACCCAAACAGGGGCGAAATGCTCAACCCTGCTTTCGTTGGAGATCAGGGTCCATGAGTGACTGAATTTTATTATGGACAATTAAATCTACACAACAACTTAGCAAGAAGATCTTCTTGGCTGTGATGTGTGAAGGCATAACTGCAAACAGCCCCTGTGATGCCACTGCAACACTAGTGGCCTGTCATATCCGACCTCTGCTTAGAAATCTTCTCACCACAAGACTGTAGGTGTGAACTAAACAGGAAGTGAGACACTGACAATAAGATAGGTCACTTTCTTAAATGAGCAAAACTTAGAATGTTTCCTGTTTTTTAAAAATGTATTTGCATTGGGTGTTATCTTGTAAAAGAGTTATAGTTTTAATTTGAGTACATGTTCAGATATTAACAATACAAGCAGTAATCACACAAGAAGGCCCATCCTTTGACAATCCTGTGACAATAACTTTAAGCATCACCTACGACAAGCGCATCTCTCCATCTGTGATACACACTGTGTAAGGTACAGTAAAGCTCATTGTCCTTGTAGAAAATGAGTTGAATATCTAAAAAGTGTATTTTTTTGTCATAAACTTAACTTCTATTGACTTTTCAGTGAGTTTACATGTCATTGCTTTCAGTCAGGCAGTCAGTCAGTTCTTGTTCAGGAAAATGTTTAATCTTTGTACGATCTGGATCTCATATCAATGTATCATACCGTAACATTTTTGTCAAATCTTTTATCTGAAGTAAATAACGTTTGTAACTCAGATGTCAGCAAATACATTCAAAGCTTCCAGCGGATACCATTTTGGCCTCTTGATTTAAATTAATAGAAGAAATGGGTCATTGTGCTTCTCCTTGATCACTGTTTTTCTTGTGGTCTTTATCGTCTGGCGGAGTCACAAAATTCACACACGGCCCATGCAAACAATAAACTAACAAACTATATATATATATATAATATATATATATATACTACGGATGTGTCATGTGTTACTAAAAGCCCTTTGATTTCAAAGAGAGAAGACACCTTTACAAAAGAAGCACTGATGATTGAATCGTTTATATGTTAATATCACGAATTAGAACAGAACGAAGTGATTCTGTAGTAAAGGTGTCTTTTTTCTTTGAAATCAAAGGGCTCTTAGTACCACATGACACATCTGTAGTATTTAATGGCTATAATGGATAGATAAATATAGATATATTCTTTATTTATCCCCTAGGGGAAATTCATGTGTCCAATAGCTCATTAGTAATAATAATAATAATAGTTAATAATAAATAATAAACAATAATAATTAAATTAGTCCACTTCTTCTGGCTGAGGTGTTATCCAGCCTGATGGCAGTGGGGACTGATAATGTAATGGTTTATATGATCCAAACATCGCATGAACAATTGGAAGGGGCTGTGTTTTTAGAGGCTTGTGTTTACCATAATAAAAAGTAAAACGTGTAGGTTGTGTTCTGGGTCAGTGGTGAGGAGCTCAAGTAGTCAAGGTTTCATTTTGTGGTCTCACAAAAATAAAATAGGAGAAGTCATGATTAATAGAAGGAGAAGTGAGAGCAGCTGGATGGCGAAGTTGTGATATAAAAGTAGCTGCACCGCAGGGATGATAAATATCTTTTTTAATTATTGGGACAATTTGTTTTCCTTGTTTGTGACAGTAAAAGCTGAATACTGTAAAGCTCAGGTGAGAATAGTTGATAGCACAAAGTAAGAAAAAAAAGGAATACTGAAATCATGATTAATACAATAGACTTCACAACTTTTTGTGTAACATAGTGAATGTGTAATGTATTAAGTAAGGAATGGAAACTAAACAGCAGTCCCGCACAGGCCTGAAAATTTTTGTCATTTTATTTGCAGGTCTGACCCTCAGAGGACGAGATGGATGCTTTTAAATGGCCCCTCCTCTTTGTGTGGCTTTTCTTTAAAGGTATAATACATTCTCATATATCAAGCAATAATCCTCTTTTTTTTTTTTTTTTTTTTTTTTTTTATTTTATTTTATTTTTTTTTTATAAAAGGTGTTATTATCTCTTTTGTTCAAGTAAAGAATTGAACTTTCAGGTGAATTTGTATTGAAGTAGACTCTTCTTCAGGCTGTGGTCATGGACATTGTTCTCTTTATTTTATCACAGTTGTTCAAACTGAAGTCTCGCCCTGGACCATTCAGGTGCCATCCTCAGTTAAAGGTCTCCCTGGATCCTGTGTGGTGATTCCCTGCACATTTAACTACCCAGATCCAGACAAGAAGATCACTAAATTCACTGGGATTTGGTTCAAAGCCAGTGGTGAAATCATCTATCACCCAGTTGAGTCTAAAATCATGCAGCAGTATCGGAGTCGGACGGAGCTGCTGGGAGACGTCACACAGAGGAACTGTTCACTGAAGATTGATCCCCTTCAACAAACTGACCAAGGGCCATTTTATTTCAGGATTGAAATTGCAGATTACAACAATTTTTCTTTCAAAGAGAACAGAGTCTCTATTTCAATGACTGGTAAGTGATATTAACAACTTTCAATAAACATCTTTGAAATTACAGTTAATGCCTTAATTTTAATGCCTTAATCCAATATAAGCAAAAAAAAAAACTACAACAGTGTTTACTACTACGGTTTCTTTCGGTTGTCTTGTAGTTGAGGTTACAACACCAAAAGGGCATCTCTCTGACAGAACACAATGAGATGGTGAACATGATCATTTCATTTTCCGCATTTGTCACTGGTTGCCATCCTCTTGCTTTAAATAACTTTCATCACAAAACAGCTGAAGTTAAGTTTCATTTCTCCAGACATCGTGATATTCAAAAGGAAATAAAACCCATCGTGAGTACCACTTAGGTTCAGTCCTTTGCGCAGTGGCCATGGGTTTGAGTCCAACGCAAGACCCTTTGCTACATGTCATCCCCTCTCTCTCCTCAGCTTTCCTGTCACTCTCTCACTGATCCTGCCTGAATAAAGGCAAAAACTGGCCAAGAAAAAAAAAAAGAATTCCTTCAACATTTTGTATCTTTCCTGAAACTTGAAAACAGAGAGGAAACCTTCGAATTTATGTGACCAGGATGTGGATTCGTGAATAGAGTTTGGTTGTGAAAACATAAGTAAGCTGTCATACCAAAATAAAGTTCCCTTTCAAGCACTGTTTAGCAGAACTGAAATAAAATAGAAAACTTTGTCTAAACCTTTACCCCACATTCCTCTGTAACTTATTTTCAGGTCTTGTAATTTCATTACCTTATTCAATTTAAGCAGCAATATTGAGACAAATGAGGCCCATACAAAGTCTCGAAAGACATAACTTTGCTTTGAACAGCCCAGTAGATCAAGTGCTCTCTCTTAAATGCATTTCAGTAGCCCTATGATATTTGTTATTGTATACCATAACCCTACTTGTTATTACAGGTAAACTACAAATCTCTGTGAAAGAGGAAGTAGTGGAGGGCCAGACTGAGGTGGCTTCCTGCTCTGTGTTTCCCTCCTGCCCCACCTCTCCTCCTGTCTTCAACTGGAGTCACTCTGGAGAGCAGATCCAATCACCGCAGTTTGACGATGGCCAGTGGAAAGTAACAGCTAATCTGACCTTTCGCCCTACCTATGCTGACCACAACAAGCCTTTACTCTGCACCGTAACATACAAGGGAGGGAGGAAACAGGAGGCAGCCAAGGTCCTCAAAGTAAAGCGTAAGTGTGTGCTTTGACATTACAAGATGTGAACATGTATCTGTAAAGAACGTCATGGTATCATGAACACCATGTTTCCATGCAGACGCCCCAGTGAATGTGAAGGTTGAGTACAAGGCAGATGTAAAGGAGGGAGAGGCTGTGCAGCTGAAATGCTCCAGTGATGCTCATCCTCCTGCCAGCAGCTATGAGTGGCATAATGAAAAAGGTGCTCAGTTGCATCGGGGAAACCACTACATGTTGCCAAATGTGTCCAGACGCGTAGGTGCATTGTACTGTACTGCCATCAACACAGAAGGACGAGGCAAGTCGAGCCCTGTGCAGCTCAGTGTGTTATGTAAGTAAGCAATCCACAAAATGTAATGATAAAGAAGATCATTCTTATTTCAACACATATAATAGAAGGCCAACTCATAACTGCATTACTTGTCCTTACAGATGCCCCTGAGATTAAGACCGTCTCGTCCTGCTCCTCAGAGGGGGGTATGGTAAAGTGTATGTGCATTGTGGAGTCCAAGCCTCCCTGCACGCTCCATTTTGTACTTTCGGACAGAGTCCTGCCAGGAACCAAGGTAGAGAAACATGGCTCTGTTACCATTGGGACTCTGCAGGGAGAGTTTGGATCCTCTGAGTTCGTCCTCTGTCTGGCAAACAACACTGAGGGCAATGCCAAACTCACACTCGCTTTACATGTCAGCGGTAAGGAAAAATTTGTAGAGTGCATGACATGTGTAAGATGCCTAAAGACTGTTGCCATGAATTATACTAAAACAGAAAAGTGACTGCACATGGTTTCTGTTTGGATAGGTAAGATGCAGAATCTCTATATTGCCATCACCATTGGAGCAGTGGTGGCTTTGGTGATAGTTTTAGTAGCAGTGGGGTTTGTCATAAAATGGTAAGTTGGTGTAGAAAATATTTCCTCTCACTGAAAATAAGTAGAAAAAATATTTTCCTTTTCTTCTCAGTTATGTTTGTGTAGCTATAGCATTCTTATATGAATAAGACATTCTAAAAATGTGTTGAAAAAAAAAAAAACAGACTATTGTTAACAGACACCAGAAAGAAAGGTATACATATAAGTCAAGCATGTGGCGGTATTTGTCAATATAGAGTGGAGATGTGCCTGATAATACTCAAACTACCTCACTTTCACCTCTATTGGAGCAGTCTGTGTAAAGTTCCTGAATTAAAAAGCATTATTCTTTCAGTAGGGGGAAATCTAGAGACACGCCAGTACATTATATGAGAGACGCAACAGCAAACAGAGCCGAAGAGCTCTCTCAGAATGCTAAAACAAAAAGGTTAGTTATTACCTCAGTTTGGAATAAATAATTTAAAATTACAAAATGTGTATTCACTGTGTTTAATTTGGTTAAAAAAAAAAAATTGTTTACTTTCTGTTTCAGTAAAGAGATGGACTACAATGTTGCACAGAGCCCTGGATATCATGACAATGATCATGTATATGGCAACATGGAGGTATGTGAAATTTTCTTTATTCATTCATTATTCCCATACATCACAGAGGAGAGCTAGTTAACTTTATTTCCTCTACAGACTGACTGGGATGATGCTATATACGCCAATATGTAACATGGTTGAATTCACTGGAAGTGTGGCTGAAGTCTCTCTGCGTGTTGTCCAGATGATGTGGATCAAGAAATTTGCAAAAAAAAGAAATACTGAATTAGTGCTATTTTCTTTGGGTATTACATAAGTATTATTATTCAGTATCCTGTATTTCACATATTACAAACTGGTTGTTCATGTGTTCTTTTTTATGCCTCTGTGCCAGCTACAGCTAGAGCCGGCGGGTTGTCCATCCGTCCGGATGTACGTACGTCCCATTCTTGTGTATACATATCTCAGAAACACCTTGATGGCACATCTTTCAAATTTGGCACAAACATTCACTAGGACAGTTCAAGGAAGAACTGAGTAGATTTCAGGGGTCAAAGGTCAAGGGCATGGTGACCTCACAAAACATGATTTTAGCCTTGTAAACGCAATACTTCTTCAAGGGAATCCCTTCAAATTTTGCACAAATGTCCATTTGGACTCAAGGACAAACTGATTAGCCTTTGGTGGTCAAAGGTCAAGGTCACAGTGACCACAAAAAACACTTCTTTAGCAAACAGAAATTATGACAAAATTTCAAACAAATCGTTAATATTTTATGACTATGGATAAACAGGACCGTAATCTGAAACCAGTCTGCTTGGCGGAGGCATAAAACCGCGAGGCAGTAATTCTAGTTAATGTGCTCGTGTTTGCAGTCAGTTTCTCTTGTCCAGAACTTTTCCTGTCTGCTTGTCTGATCAACAATAATACTGTGTGTATAGGACTATAACAATGCTGCTTATTGTGACAAATCACTATTAAACTACTTTCATAATTTACATGCATATTGGTTTGATAACTCCTGATTTTTATAGTCTCAGTCATCTATACTGCACAAGTTAGCCCACTACAGTGTGCTGTTTGAATATCCTCTTTGCTTTAACAGAGTGACACATATGAACAAAGCTGCTAAAGTTTTGAAGTGTCAGCTTCCTGGTGAGTGCAGCTGAAGTGTTGACCATTTTGTGCACTGCTGCAAAAGCAACAGGTTCACTGTGCTCTGTTCCACCACAGCAGCACAATCCAGACGCATTTTCTTCAGTTTAAATGTCATAATATAAAAATACAGGGGTAATACAGAGTAATATTATTGCCATGTTAACTAAGTAAACACATCGTGCATGGGCTAAGGTCAATGTGGACAAACCCTCAAGAGGCATGACAGTGCGTTTATAGGAAATTGACAGGAAGGCAAAGAGGAAGCTGGGCTCCATCTTGACTGATGAGATAACAATATCATACATTTCATACACAAACACACAAAAACTCACTGTTGGTTTTATATCTGAAAGTATATTTAAATCACTGTATTTTATATGGATATGTATTTAAATCATTGAAATTCTGTATCGCTGCTATTAATATTTATTTTTGTTATTTATTTTTATTTTTGTACTCAGGTCTCACTTGTAAATGAGATCTCAACTTCAATGTGACTTCTTGATTAAATAAAGTACCAGTCAAAAGTTTGGACATACTTTTCCATGAATGGGAAAGTGTGTCCAAACTTCTGACTGGTACTGTATATATACGTGTTGGTTAAGATGGGGGTTGGGGAGATGCCCACCTACATGTAACGGTGTTAATTTTACAGCTGGTGCTCAAAGCACCCAAGTCCAGACAAGTAGGCAAGTGCAGTGAAAAGACTTTAATGAAACAATGACCGAGTCTTATAGGCAAACAGGCGGCAAGGTGGCAACACCTGTGAGTTCACAGCATGAAGGACGAAGGACAACACATTAGCTATGATCTGGTGAATCTTTTGGAAACTGGAAACTGGTGTGTGAACGGGCCGGGAAGATCAGGGAACTGGGGCAGGAGGGAAGGTACCATGGCATCTGGTGGATGACTGAGGAATTACAGTTTATAAAAGTAGCAGGACCCTGATGGAGTGAGACTGCGGCTTACAGGGGCACAGAGAACAAGGTTACCAGACTAGGGCAGGAACCGTGATAACAGAAAGTCAGTGAAGTTATGTCTATGTGTTGCTCACATGCATTTGGACTGTGCTCTATTTCGGAATTATGCTCAATAGTAGATTTTGATTTAATTTCAACTATTTTTTCCTCATTGGTTTTAAAAGATCTGTGTGGTTTGACAAAGTATACACATTACGTTTCATATTTTTTACACTCAGTTAAAATCCACCAGTTTTACAACTAGGTTCTGTGTTTTTTTCTTTATTGACTGAATGGCCCAAATGTAAACTGGAAGCACAGCAACAAAACACACTTTTTCATCAGTTCTTGGCAATAATAGACTGTACATTAATAGTTACGTCGTTTACTCAGAGTAATAAATGAATGCCAAAGAACTTTAAATATTGTAATATACAATAATACAATGTCTGCTATGATAACTCCATTACTTTTCATCCATGGACAACGAAACAAAAAGGAGCAAGACAGTAAACTGAAAGAGACATGAAATGACTACAAATGATACAGCCATGTTGTCTTTGTAGTACTGCACCCCTTCGTGGTCTTTCCATGTCTCATTGTGGTCGTTTGATGGACTATCCAACAGTCACTTCATATTGAGGCTCTGATCCAAGGTCCTTGGATATGTACTTGATAGGCCGAAACAACTTTAAATATTGTAATATGAGTGATGTTATGGGATTTCATGACATCACTGGTGTGGTGGATTTTCACACCACTTTCGGCAACATTTTGTGTACGTTTTTGCCCCCCTTTTTTGTGACAGTAAAAGCTGAAAAATGTACAGCTCAAGTGAGGATAGTTGATAGCAGAAGACATGGTAAGAAAAGAAAAAAAAAGGAATACTGAAATGATGATTAATACAATAGACTTCCCTAATATCTGTCTGATGAGACAAAAGTGGATAACATAGTGCATGTGTGATGTATTAAATGTGGAATGGAAACTGGTCATCAACTAGTACGAGTCATCTCTTCTCCGAGGGAAACAACAGCAGTCCCGCACAAGACTGGAAATATTTGTCATTTTATTTGCAGGTCTGACCCTAAGAGGACAAGATGGATGCTTTTAAATGGCCCCTCTTCTTTGTGTGGCTTCTCTTTAAAGGTATGATATATTCTCATATCAAGCAATAATAATTTTTTTGGTGCGTTATTATTATCTCTTTTGTTCAGGCGAATTTCTATTGAAGTACTCTCTTCTTCAGCATGTGGTCATTCTACACTTTAAGTTTCATTTCATCAAATCTTTCTCTTCATTTTATCACAGTTGTTCAAACTGAAGCCTCGTCCTGGACCATTCAGGTGCCATCCTCAGTTAAAGGTCTCCCTGGATCCTGTGTGGTGATTCCCTGCACATTTAACTACCCAGATCCAGACAAGGTGGTCACTAAATTCACTGGGATTTGGACTGATGCAACGAGTCACGTCATCTATCACCCAGTTGAGTCTAAAATCATGCAGCAGTATCGGAGTCGGACGGAGCTGCTGGGAGACGTCACACAGAGGAACTGTTCACTGAAGATTGATCCCCTTCAACAAACTGACCAAGGGCCATTTTATTTCAGGATTGAAATTGCAGATTACAACAATTTTTCTTTCAAAGAGAACAGAGTCTCTATTTCAATGACTGGTAAGTGATATTAACAACTTTCAATAAATATCTTTGACATTACAGTTAATGCCTTCATTTTCCCCTTCTCTCTTTAATACACTGTGCATTTCTGAACATTTTCATTTGTAGCTCATCATTCCTGACACGAGTTGTTTGTACTGATCAGAGGTCGGTGAACATTTTACAATAAATTGTTCACTCTCCTTTGATAATTGGATGACTCCTTCAACTTCAAATGTGATATCACATTTGTGCAAGAATTACAGGCAAAACAGCAGACTACAACAGTGTTTACTACTATGATGTATTTCTGTTGTCTTGTATTGAAAAAGTTCATATTGTAAATACTGTACAACCCAAAAGACACAGCTCTCAGACAGCACACAATGAGATAAACATGAACATTTAAACTAAACAACCACTGGACTCTCAGTTCCTCATTTGTCACTGGCTGCCCTCCTCTAGCTTCAAATAACTTTTTTCATAAAACAATGGAAATTAGGTTTCATTTCTCCAGACATTGTGATATTCAAGGGAAATAAAACCCATCTTAAGAATTCCTACATGTTGAATTTATGTGACCGGGATTTGGATTCTGCTTTTGTGAAAACACACACACACCACAAACATTCACTTGTGTTACCTGCACCAGACCTAGGGGCAATCTGGACCGGCAGCAAGAGGCACACAGGCTGGAGAGCACTGTGCAGACAATATAAAGAAAAAGAACTGTGGATTGATAGAGAGAGGACCAAAGTTAGCATTTTCAACAGGCCTGAGCTTGTTTATTTCTGAGCACAATTTCATCCACTTCCTACTTAACAATCTCCACATTTTCACTAGGTACGAATAATATGTACTACCGAAACTACAATAAGCAACACAAAACATTCTGACCAACAGAAAATAAGGAAACATAAATTCAGAAAAACTAAATATGTATTCAATGTAAACAAAAGTACAAAAATACTCAATACTACTCAAAGTACTAAAATAATAATAAAATAATATTAAGTAAGTCATTCTGTTATACTTTTTCCTATTGTCGCAGACACATTAGCATACTATAATACACACACTCTGTCAACACTACCAAAACTCAAACACGCACGCACACACTGCGGCAGCAGCGAGATAACTAGGGCATGGCGGCAAAAGCTAAGCTAGTTGAAATGTGGGATTTCTCCTTTCCCTATTTACTCGCTACTGGCTGGCTAACATCCTAACAACATTTACAACATATTTAAGCATGTTACTGATTACTAGTGTCAAATACATACACTCGTGAAACTACTGTGCTTACTGACGTTCCTGTGACGATTACCGTCAGCATGGCGACGCACGCTGAGACATTCTACTACAAAAACAAACTCGCTGCTCATCTTACACATCTCAAAACTCTCTGAACACACTTCAAAACAACACCACCGCTGCTACATTAGTTTTAGAACAGTACTAAAGTGAGTTTTACAGTAGGCCTACCTGTGGATTGATAGAGAGAGGACCAAAGTTAGCGTGATCAACAGGCCAGAGCTCGTTTACTTCTGAGTTGCACCTGTGCAGAGTCTGTCACTATAATCCCTCCGGAAAATCCGCAACAGCACCAGAGCGCCTACTACTGACTGAAAGGTGTATTACCTCAATATAAAGAGTACATGAAAATGTTAGTAAAGTTCATAATTATTAACAAAAATTTAGAGGTGGTGTCTGTTTCAATAAAACTGAACATGTAGCCCTTTTCCAAGCTGCTACACTGGGACTGAAGGATGAACTGGATTTAATTTTGGGGGCTTAAGGGCCAAAGTCTTGATGACCTCACAAAACAAGGTTTTATGCCTTGTGAATGCAATATCTCAGTAACACCTTGAAGGAACCTCTTCAAATTTGGCACAAATGTCCTCTTTGACTAGCGGAGGAACTGGTCATCTTTTGGTGAACAAAGGTTAAAGTTCAAGGTCATGGTGACCTCACATTATTGTGAATGTAATATATCAGGAACGCCCAGAGGGAATTTAATTTCTTCTGGCAATTTGTGACCTCACAAAACACGTTTTTAGCCATAACTCACAAATTAATACGCTAATTGTGACATAATTTAACTCGAATGTCTATAAGGATAAAATTAAGTAATATTATATCCAAATGGTCAAACATCAACTTCACTGTTACAACACAATGTTCTGAAAAACCACTTTAAAACAACCATTATTCAACACTGTAAAGAGGGGAGAATGTGACCATATTTCCTTCAAATTGCTGATTGATTGGGGGAAGTCATACAACCGCAATGCAGTAATTGTAGTTTTAACCAGAACTGAATCTGTATTTGGGGGCAACCACTAGAATAACACAGGAACTAAACCTTTACCCCACATTCCTCTGTAACTTATTTTCAGGTCTTGTGATTTCATTACCTTATTTAATTTCAGCAGCAATGTTGAGACTAGTAAGGATCATACAAAGTCTCAAAAGACATAAATTTGAACAGCCCAGTAGATTAAGTGTTCTCTCTTAAATGCATTTCAGTAACCATATATTTGCTATTACCTATCATAATCTGTCTTGTTGTTATAGGTAAACTAAACATGGCTGTCTCTGTGAAAGAGGAAGTAGTGGAGGGCCAGACTGAGGTGGCTTCCTGCTCTGTGTTTCCCTCCTGCCCCACCTCTCCTCCTGTCTTCAACTGGAGTCACTCTGGAGAGCAGATCCAATCACCGCAGTTTGACGATGGCCAGTGGAAAGTAACAGCTAATCTGACCTTTCGCCCTACCTATGCTGACCACAACAAGCCTTTACTCTGCACCGTAACATACAAGGGAGGGAGGAAACAGGAGGCAGCCAAGGTCCTCAAAGTAAAGCGTAAGTGTGTGCTTTGACATTACAAGATGTGAACATGTATCTGTAAAGAACGTCATGGTATCATGAACACCATGTTTCCATGCAGACGCCCCAGTGAATGTGAAGGTTGAGTACAAGGCAGATGTAAAGGAGGGAGAGGCTGTGCAGCTGAAATGCTCCAGTGATGCTCATCCTCCTGCCAGCAGCTATGAGTGGCATAATGAAAAAGGTGCTCAGCTGCATCGGGGAAACCACTACATGTTGCCAAATGTGTCCAGACACGTAGGTGCATTGTACTGTACTGCCATCAACACAGAAGGACGAGGCAAGTCGAGCCCTGTGCAGCTCAGTGTGTTATGTAAGTAAGCAATCCACAAAATGTAATGATAAAGAAGATCATTCTTATTTCAACACATATAATAGAAGGCCAACTCATAACTGCATTACTTGTCCTTACAGATGCCCCTGAGATTAAGACCGTCTCGTCCTGCTCCTCAGAGGGGGGTATGGTAAAGTGTATGTGCATTGTGGAGTCCAAGCCTCCCTGCACGCTCCATTTTGTACTTTCGGACAGAGTCCTGCCAGGAACCAAGGTAGAGAAACATGGCTCTGTTACCATTGGGACTCTGCAGGGAGAGTTTGGATCCTCTGAGTTCGTCCTCTGTCTGGCAAACAACACTGAGGGCAATGCCAAACTCACACTCTCTTTACCCGTCACCGGTAAGGAAAAATTTGTAGAGTGCATGACATGTGTAAGATGCCTAAAGACTGTTGCCATGAATTACACTAAAACAGAAAAGTGACTGCACATGGTTTCTGTTTGGATAGGTAAGATGCAGAATCTCTATATTGCCATCACCATTGGAGCAGTGGTGGCTTTGGTGATAGTTTTAGTAGCAGTGGGGTTTGTCATAAAATGGTAAGTTGGTGTAGAAAATATTTCCTCTCAAGAAGAAAAATTATTCAGTTTTTTTTCCTTTCAGTTATGTCTTTGTTCTTTTTGTAGCCATAACATTCTTATATGAATGACATAAAATGCACATGGAGGTATTTGTTAATATAGAGTGGAAATGTGTCTTATAATAGTCAATCCACTTCACTTTCACCTCTATTGGAGCAGTGGGTTTGGTAATATATATATAGATATATTTTTTTAGGTCATGATAGCCTGTATACAGTTTTGTATACAGCTTTCATTGGTTGTGTAAAGGGTCAATTAATATTTTGTTTTCAGGGTCCTAAATTAAAAATCATTATTCTTCCAGTAGGGGGAAATCTGGAGATATGCCAGCACAACATTTAAGTGCCATGACAGCAGCTGAAGAGATCTCTCAGTACGCTACAACAAAAAGGTTACAGTTATTAACCTCTGCTTGCAATAAATAAAACTACTCATGATTTAGAATGACACAAGGAAGCTAATCTTGCATGGTGTTATGTGTTTTTACTGTGTGTACAATTTGGTCAAAAAATGTTTTTTTGTTGTTCTCAGAAAAGAGATGGACTATGATGACATACATATCCCTGGATATCATGACAATGATCATGTATATGGCAACATGGAGGTATGTGAAATTTTCTTTATTCATTCATTATTCCCATACATCACAGAGGAGAGCTAGTTAACTTTATTTCCTCTACAGACTGACTGGGATGATGCTATATACGCCAATATGTAACATGGTTGAATTCACTGGAAGTGTGGCTGAAGTCTCTCTGCGTGTTGTCCAGATGATGTGGATCAAGAAATTTGTAAAAAAAAAAAAAAAAAAGAAACACTGAATTAGTGCTATTTTATGTGGATATTACATAAAAACATTTTTCTGTATCCTGCAATTCACATATTACATAATGGGTTCATGTCGTCAAGTAACTTTGTGAATAATGTGCTCGTGTTTGCAGTCAGTTTCTCTTGTCCAGAACTTTTCCTGTCTGCTTGTCTGATCAACAATAATACTGTGTGTATAGGACTATAACAATGCTGCTTATTGTGACAAATCACTATTAAACTACTTTCATAATTTACATGCATATTGGTTTGATAACTCCTGATTTTTATAGTCTCAGTCATCTATACTGCACAAGTTAGCCCACTACAGTGTGCTGTTTGAATATCCTCTTTGCTTTAACAGAGTGACACATATGAACAAAGCTGCTAAAGTTTTGAAGTGTCAGCTTCCTGGTGAGTGCAGCTGAAGTGTTGACCATTTTGTGCACTGCTGCAAAAGCAACAGGTTCACTGTGCTCTGTTCCACCACAGCAGCACAATCCAGACGCATTTTCTTCAGTTTAAATGTCATAATATAAAAATACAGGGGTAATACAGAGTAATATTATTGCCATGTTAACTAAGTAAACACATCGTGCATGGGCTAAGGTCAATGTGGACAAACCCTCAAGAGGCATGACAGTGCGTTTATAGGAAATTGACAGGAAGGCAAAGGGGAAGCTGGGCTCCATCTTGACTGATAGATAACAATATCACACATTTCAAATACAAACACACAAAAACTCACTGTTGGTTTTATATCTGAAAGTATATTTAAATCACTGTATTTTATATGGATATGTATTTAAATCACTGCAGTCTCTATGGATATATTTTGCATCTCTGCTATTAATATTTTTTTCTTATTTATTTTATGTTCTGAACTCAGATCAAAAGTTTGGACATACTTTTCCATGAATGGGAAAGTGTGTCCAAACTTCTGACTGGTACTGTATATATATGTGTTGGTTAAGATGGGGGTTGGGGAGATGCCCACCTACATGTAACGGTGTTAATTTTACAGCTGGTGCTCAAAGCACCCAAGTCCAGACAAGTAGGCAAGTGCAGTGAAAAGACTTTAATGAAACAATGACCGAGTCTTATAGGCAAACAGGCGGCAAGGTGGCAACACCTGTGAGTTCACAGCATGAAGGACGAAGGACAACACATTAGCTATGATCTGGTGAATCTTTTGGAAACTGGAAACTGGTGTGTGAACGGGCCGGGAAGATCAGGGAACTGGGGCAGGAGGGAAGGTACCATGGCATCTGGTGGATGACTGAGGAATTACAGTTTATAAAAGTAGCAGGACCCTGATGGAGTGAGACTGCGGCTTACAGGGGCACAGAGAACAAGGTTACCAGACTAGGGCAGGAACCGTGATAACAGAAAGTCAGTGAAGTTATGTCTATGTGTTGCTCACATGCATTTGGACTGTGCTGTATTTCGGAATTATGCTCAGTAGTAGATTTTGATTTAATTTCAACTATTTTTTCCTCATTGGTTTTAAAAGATCTGTGTGGTTTGACAAGCATTTCATTTCATTGTTTTTAAATGAAAGAGAGAGACCCCCTAATAAGTTTCACAAAATTAAATTTGAAAAAATGATCTGTCCAAAATTTTTTTGCTGTCTGCTAATTTTCTATTCATAGAGTTTTTTTTTCATTAGGATGTATAAAAGGAATTCAAATATTGTCTGTTAACTTGTTATGTTTAAGCCCTTGAAAGTTAAACATCATTGAAGCACCCTTGGCCTTTTAAATGTATTTTTACTTATAATAGATATCATATACACTAAAATATCAAATGCACTTTTTGTAAATGACACAATCTGCAAATACCTAATGTTGTAAGATGCCCCTTCACTTATTTTTTGGATTGCTACATTTATTGCACAATACAATATCCTAAAACTGTGGTGGTCAATGCAGAGTCATAGTAAAACCACTTTCAAACACCAAGTATATTTCAGTAAACAGACAGCATTCTCAAGGAACATCTTTCCCCATCTTACCCTCCTTGTTTTTATACAATCATACTTTTCAAACGCAGTAAACACAGAAATAAGGTTGGATTTACATAGTATTTAATGTTAATCAGACACAATAAAATCATATTGATCACATTCAAAGCCTTAAACAGTGAGCCATTTCTGGATTGAAACTGTTCCATTAACACACCAGATATGAGGTGGCAGAGGATTTATCATGAAAGTGACGCTGATTAAAGAGAACAGGCCGTCACTTCTGGTCGTTACAGTGTGCAGGAAGTGTTGTGTATTTCTTAATTATGTATCACAGTGTAGACAGTGTAGACATTTACTGTATTGTGCTCTGGAGATCTGCTACTAGTCTAACAGTATCTCTGTTATCATACCAGATAGTGGTGCAATATCTCTCCATTTCACAGTGGACAAGATCAGCTGTCAATGTTTGAGTAAACAGAAAAGAATAGTGACTGTCAGATATTACATTTTAATGACATGCAGTACATGACATGTGAATTCATTTACCATACAGAATGAAAGGAGATATTTAGCTCATGCACTGGGCTTACGTCATATTCTCGTGGAGTTCATTGCCTGCTTGCCTCCTCTGTATTGCACTGTGCAGTTTAAAGGCATTTTGAAGTCAGCGGGTAGAGGTTTAAAGGTCAGGGCTGACACTGTTTCCCACTTCCACTCATTCAGCCGCTTTGATCGGTGCGTGACGGTTCCAGAGCGACTCCAGGAGAATTTAGGGGGAAAAGATGGGCAGGAGTGAGACACAGAGCAGAAGGCCTTGACTTTATCAGTCACCCTCAGAGTCAGAGATGGAGGCTGTGGATCACCTACAGAAATTAAATATTATACCAACATGATTCATAATACAATGAATTAAACATTATTAACAATGTGTTGCCACTCAAATAATCTATACAATACTCACTTGTAACATCAATGGACACTGGGTTTTTGGTGTAAGAGAAGCTTTTGTATTGTGGAATTTCAATCCTGAAGTAGAAAGGTCCAACATCAGTATTCCTGACACCATCCAGCAACATGGTGCAGTTGCGTAACTTCAGATCCCCCAAGAACTGGGTTCGTTTTTTGTACTCATTGGTCATTTTCCATTTGGGGAGATTGGTTGAGACAATCTTGTTCCCCTTTCTCCAGAATCCTCTCCACCTGTTGAGGATTGCGTTTGAGTTGGGCTTGGGGTAGGTGTAGATGCAGGGAATAACCACACAGGAGCCCTGCAGGGCAGGAATCGATGTCGGTATTTTTGCTATCCATTGGCCACGAGGGGGCTGGACACCGTGGGTCACTGGAAATAAGAAGGAACATTGATTTATCATTGAGAGTAAGATGATGTATTTTATGCAACAGAAATTGAAACTCACCTTGTGCCAACAGAAAGCAAAGCCACAACTTCAGCTCCATCACTAATGGAAAAAACTGTAAAAGAAAAAAATCATAAAGACAATGAGAACACTGCATTTCCATTGTATTTTTGCACACATACCAATAACTCACTCACCTCTGAATCCTTTTAACAGTGAATATGCCTGTACTTGCAGTGCTGGGGAGATTGGTTCAGTGTCTTTGTGTGTTATATTTATAGTCCAGCTTCACCCTTTAAAACTGCAAGTGTTGCCAAATGTTTTACAAAGCGTTGAGCTCATCGTGTGAGTAATTGGTGGTTATATGCGACATTAGCCTCAGAGACAGAAGCTGTTTACTTTCCCATGCTGATACTTTCTCCTGTTTGTTCATTGTTTAGTTACTTTTCTGATACTTTTTTCACAGACAAATGAATATGTGAAGAAATGGCAGAGCTCACCAAGTTCCAGTCATGCACAGATGCTACAGTATGTCACTGATAATGAAAAAGACGGACATTTTTTGTTCTAAGCTAAAGGCCCTGGGGTCAACCAATGAGGGCCAAAAGTTTGCAATAGAGAAAACATGTGAGCAGACTACAGAAGAGGTTCAAGATAATTGAATTAACTGTTTATTTGTTGTTTATATGTATATTTATTATTCAGTTATTTTAAGCATTTTTGTTGTTGCGTTGTTGAGGGAAATACCACAGTTAACCACATGCCCTTTTGAAGAAGTTTTCATTCCTAAATGTCACCACTTTGCTGTTCAGGCACATTGCCATATTTTAAAAAGTCATGTGACAACCAGTCAAATTAGATCTTAAAACCTCACAAAGAAAAAATGTCATTTTCAGTGTGACAGCAAAGTATCCTATATGGAAAGGATGGGACTCTAGCAGTATAGTTAATGTTCTTGCATGTGGCTCTAAAGGTTAATGTTTAGTTTGGTCTGTTACATAAGAGGAATTACAGTCAGGAGATGCATGAAAAACGAACTCCACAATTGAAAATGGCCTGAGAAACAAACCCTGGGAAGACAACAGACTCTCAGCTCTGAAGATAAGCCATTGCCAAGTATGTAAGACACTGATACAGCCAAGGTAGAGAAAGTCTTATTCTTTACTCCTGCCTTTGTTTGGTGTAAACTAGATTACAAAGGGTAATTGTACTGACATTTATGGATTTAGTTTTTCTCAATAATTAAAATATACATTATTCATACATATAATGCATCAGATAGTGAAGATTAACCAGTAACTGTGATTTTTCCTTAAATGGAGCAAGTATCAGTACATTAATTTCATTTGTTTTGTTACTTGTGGTGAGTTTTCTTTTTCTTTCACACTTGGCCACTGAACAGTTACTGTCACGTGGCAAGTAGCATGGCAAGTAGAATGTGTACAATTGTGAGATCACTTACCAAAGTATATATTAACACAATAAGTGACACTGTCACTGTGTGTGACATTGTTCAGGAGAGGGGATGAATGCAAAGTTCAAGGACTTCAGGAATTCTGCAACAACTGCTCACCAAAATGAAAGCAAAAAGCAGAAGACAGTAACCACAACAGCTTCACAAACTTCCACTTTATTTACCACAGGCATTTCCACGGTTGCATTGCAGTAGAAGAGGATGGGACAGCGCAGGTCACAGAACAAGCAACAACATCGTCTTTTAACCGTTTATTTTTGATGGTGCCGTGAACTTAAACATCCCATTACAAGTAATAATTTAATCTCTTGATAGAAGACTGACTTAAAAAAGAAAACAGAAGTTGGAGCCCAGCACAGCTAACACAGGAAGCGCATTGGCAAACATGTTGAGAAATACAGTATACAACATTAGCCCTTCCTCCGCTGTCTTTAGGTTCATTTGGAAGATTACATGAATAAG